TATTAATGTAGAAAACAGTAGTAAGGGGTTTATCACTCTCCAGGGAAGTGAAATCACCTTGCGGGCCTGCCTATATAAGTTCATCGGTCTTCCTGGAACGTAGAAAACATGCTCGGTGGGGGGTCACCGTTCCTAAACAATGAACAACTATTTTCACTGCCACTCACAATATTGGCCTTACCTGCCCCAGGTTGCACACTTATTACCCTCTACTATTAAATATTACATAATAAATTCTGTCGTAATACATGTCTTGGGAGAAACAAGAGACGAGAGATATATTGACAATACTGTAGAAACTCACACCAAATTCAACCTAGGAATTATGAACAAGATTATGGTCATTGGCATAAGAAATTGCTCAGTTGTTGAAGCAGATTGCATCACACACACACACACACACACACACACACATATATCTATATATATATATATATATATAGAGCAAGAAAAAATCTCATTCCATTATGTCCTCCAAAAACATTCCCTTGCCTGAGACGGAATAATCAGCTACATAGGAACTGAATAAAAATTTCCTTGGATATTATCCATCGTCTAGTAAATATAAAACGTAAAACGACGTTTCGGAGATGGGACTCTATCTCCCGTCTTCAGGTTTCTATACAGTTGGGCCCACTAGATAGAGCTAATCCCTATCTCCGGACCATTATATTTTACTAGACGATGGATAATATCCAAGAAAATGTTTATTCAATTGACTCTTCACCATCGTCAAGAAGTTTTAGATTTGATATACATAGGAACTAATGGATATGCAGATATCACACAACGACACAATATATCGGAATGAATAGCGAATCAAAATTCCGATGTTCGAATGCAACGACATCTATATACTAGCTCGTATTATGTCTTAATTTGTGCAATCAATGTCGAGGACTCCATGTCACCCTCAAGTCACTATTGATTTTTTCGAGCAGTTGAATGGTACCATTCGAATGTATGGACGGTCGTTTCGAACTACAGGGTATCGTAAAGACGGTATTAAAGACACTGGCAGCGATCAAATTCAGTTCCTCGGGAACTTTAGCGTCATTAATTAGACTTCTTCGTTCGTGGTTTATCTTTACGTATTTGTGCACACAAGCGTTTGTCAAAATTTGCTGTGTAGTTCGTGTAAGTTTCGAATTAAATAACAATATTCCCGGTTTACAGAATTTCTGCGCAATAATTTGATGTCGTAAAGCAAATTGACGTACCCTTTCGCCCAACGAACCCATCAGAAGGAAATGCACATTTTACGAATCAGTCAAAAAGTTTTTAAGTAAATTATTTTAGTCCCTTTTTTGAAATTTGTTGTTATGTGTATGAAACTTTAATATATAATTTTTATTAATTACTTACATTCGACTGTACGCATGGTAATATGTTGTTCACAATACGGCATTGCTAGTATAATACGCTTGCATTAGGATTCTAGAAATTGCAACAGCATCGATGTTGAACTGTGAAGCCATCAAGCTAAGCGATCGAGCTGCTGCTGCACAATTCTGACCCCCCTCATGTCGTAACTAAGAAAACTACGCGAGATTTATCAGACAATTGATGCGCCATGTTGGCTCCTGACTTCGAAGGGGAAATAGCTTCTTTCTAGTAAATATTCACTTAAATAGTATTAAAATATATTAAAATTGTCCGTCAATCACAATAAAGTAATATAAGATAATTAGATGGTTAAAATATTATCCTTTGTTCCGTATCGAGTACTCGATTTACATATGGAACATTCTCGACATGTTTCGGCTTTCATAGAGCCGTCATCAGGTGTATGTTATAAACTCTTAATTCAATTACTAATTTTTAATTTTTTAATTTTCTTATCATTTCTTCGTTTTTCATTGTATCAACATTTATTGATGTGTTATATAACATTGATGTAATCGTATTGTCGGAGTGATGTTAATGCTGCGTATATTGGTCAGAGAAGTAATATCGAAGTTGTAAGAGGAGAGATCAGAAGTATATCGTATCGGAGCGAGGTTTGGTTATTGACTGCCATATCTTATAAATATTCACTTGTTTTCAATGCAAAATGCAGTTATTACTTCCTAGTAAATATTTGCCTCATTTAAATTAAATACTGCTTCCAAACGCTGAATTATTTTGCCAAATATTTTCCTATTTTGTGACATGTCACTGAAACGGTCTCTTTTGTTAAATGTTTGCCCTTATTTTTTTTCTTTGCAAAATTTGCCTTCTTTTGGAATTGTCGCAGAAACAACCTTTTCATCCTACTTTTCCCCCAAAGACTTCACGTTGTTAAAACCCAGAAGACAGCCATCTTTGTGTTCGTTGGCGTAACAGCTCGAAATGTTATCATCCCATTTTTAGAGCTCTAATTTAAATCAGCGCCTTTAAAATCGTAACGACCTATCCAAAACGCTCATATTTTAATTCTGTTTCACATTTTACGAACTGGGCCTAATCTACTGTTTCATTTTAAAATAAACTTATGAAGTTTTGTATCCTTTTTAGACGCTTATGTAAGACTCTTTGAATGCGGTATCGGCTCTACCTACAGAGCACAATGCAACGTGTATCCACGCTTCTAGTGGGATTGAATCTAGTTTCGGATCACTGTAAGAGTCAGACATTGAGCTCGACTTCGAGAATAATGTATTTACCTAATTCAAAAGGAAGAACTGTCCGTGCATTCGAATGGCGTGGGAAAATTCATGGGTCTCGCGCATTGGTTTGCGAAATTAAAAAGTACAACGGGCAGGGCGTGATGAATGCGCTGCCTGAGTCATGATCAGTCATTGACTGCGACCAGATAACAAGAATTATCTTCCTCGTCAAAATAGGCTAGTACTATTTTGTGCATTTCTCTTCGTTGTGTTGGGGTAAGGCATTCATCGATGAGAACAACCAAGCCCCGTGTTATGAAATGACTGAGTTGCTGCGTTTGGATGTTACTAGACGAGCAGAGAAATTCTTGCGTAAATTATGCAAAGTGAACCCATAATGGGAAGGTCCTAACATACCGATTGCATCTACATATTCTTTATATTAGAAACTACTGGATGCATTTTGGTGTTATTCTGTACCGGGAGTCTACACTAGAAATTGTTGGGAGAAGTTGGATGCTGTCTGTTCAGTACACTTTATATGAAAGTCAAATGGTTCTTTAATCCGTTTTATTAAATCCGGTCAGTAGTAAGTGTTAAAACATAGCCTAAATAATTTATGTGTTTGTATAGTGATAAGATAAAATCTTAGCATGTTGTTGGCATCTGCGAATATTATGTTGATACCCACGTAGAATAGGTTACTCCTGACTTTACAATGCGCCAATTCGAGACCTGTTATGGAAATGCGACGTTATGAAGGAAGTAAATCGATTTTAAAACAAACAGTAATTATTAAGACGCTTCGTACCCCCCAACCAACCCCTGCCACTTAATCATATTTCTTTATTTCTTAATAGAAATACATTAATTCTGACGCATGATAATAAAGTCACCGTCCAGTTAATTGGAAACAACTGTTCGTGCTAGATAACTCTCTTTCGACCAGAATTTCGTGAGTAAATTCCTCTTTTCATTTCTTCTTAAATAGGTTCTTTATTCTTTATTGTGATATCCTTAATTATTTAAAAATTTTCACAAATTGAACGCATAAAATATTAATATATATAAGGACATCACATGGTTACATTCATGATTTACTTGAAAATTTTTATCCTTGTATGTTGCCTATCGCCATTTGTGGCTAGAAATTCTTAAGAGTTCTTTATAAGGACGGGCCGTGCCTGAAATTTCTCGTTTAATTATCGGTTTCATAGGTACGACCGGCTGACAGCGTCCTTCATTTGTTTCGAGAGGCCTGAATGACGGGTAAATTGCCATTTGTTTTCATGAGGTTACGAACCGTCAGCACGTCGATCCATCATGCCTTGATTCAGTTGTTGATGGGTGGCGATACTATCGCATTAAATGGTAGACGCCGACTTAGGCCTTGCAGGAAAAAAAAAATGTGTTTGTGGTATCTGCGGTTATCTGTCTCCTCTTATAACGTTTTAACCAACAAATTGATTTTCATGAAACTTGACACGCTATGCAACTTAACTGCACGCCACTGATGAGATTTAACTTGGCTGCACGCCACTGGTGTGACGCGAGTTGGTCACACGTCGTTGTGGTATTCTGACCCCCTGGAACAAAGTGCAGTGCCTCCCGTTTGCCTGGAGGTAGATTCCTTGCTGCCCAGAAGACGCTCGGAACAAACATCAGCACAGCCCCTGCAGTAAGTAACGCGATATTTGTCAAGACGAGCCCCATGGGATGGGGAAACCGCCCACGCGCGTCTCCTTGCCTGCCCCTTTGTAGGTTTGTCCTTTCACTCACTCTCTCTCAAAACTAATTAACTCTGTGGGGCAACGTACTTCTATAGAAGCTGATAGTCTGTCAGCTAGTCAAGAAATCCCCCCTCATTTTGTGGATCCTCACGTTTATTACTGAGTTTGCAAGAGCCTGTGCCCTGGGCACTTCAATCCAATCTCCACTGTCACTCCTTGTTTGCCTAAAATCCATTTTACTATCATCCTCCCTTGTACACCTGTCTCTTCCCTTCAGACTAAACATCGCAGTCGAGTGGTTAGCACCCCAGGGTTCAAGTGTTGGCCCGGAGGCTCTTCGGGACTCAATCTCAGTCCCTCCAAGCAAATGCTGGTTTAGAATGTGTAGGTTTTTGGATTTTGCCATAATATTTTACGCGCCAGTCCACCAATGATGAAATCATTCAGTGAGAAGTTTTGTTACCATGGAAACATGCGGTTCATGACATTAGACTCGTATTGTTATGGCACTGGACAAAATACTTCCAAAGGAAGTTCCACATTCCGCTTGACCCTGAGACTTGCTCCATTTTGTTGCCGCAAGTACTTTCCGGTTTTGTTTAGCTGTTTCCGGTCTTTTCTTGATAGCTGAACGTTTTTTAATAGTTTGTCAGTGTTTAGCAAAAACTCCGAAACGCTGGTGCACAGCCGAAATTTTGTGTGTTTCAACTTTTAGTTCCGAGTCTTTGACTTTTTGTATCATCGCGAACTCCATTTTGTCTCGCCGCTGAGTCTTATCGATAATTTCGAGCTATCGATAAGTTGGTGTGTGTGTGTGTGTGTGTGTGTGTGTGTTCGAGCGGTCCAGCTCGTTCTCAGATCATCGCTTCAGTCACGTTGTGAACGCCATGATGTGTGGTACAGTGGTTGTGGTCCTCTGCGCTTTCGCAGTGATGCCAATCCTCGCACTCAACTTTACCTACGAAACCAAGTACCTGGATGTACCCGTAAGTAACACGGAACCGGGGCGAGCAAAATGTATGTTTCTCTTGATTAGAAGGCTGTTCAACCCATTCAGTACTGTTTTTACTTTGCAAAAGTGTCCACACTGCGGATTGGGCGACTGGGGGTCGATTGCTGGGGCCCACCCAGCCTGGTATCCAGCGGGTACCAGAGTTCTTTCTTCTTGGTGCTCAGTTACGCATCAGAAACATTTTCTTTTTAATATTATATCTATTGTAACGTACTATTTAAATTGCTACGTCATGAGCAGTTGAGTTTCTTTCGGTGATCTTCTCAAGTACCAGATACAGTCTCCGAGGTCCAGGGATTTAAAACGAGATATATCGTGCATGACAGCCACGGTGGTCTAGCGGTTAGAACGCTGGCCTTGTAATCCTGGGGTCTCGGGTTCGATTCCCGGCGGTGCCCGAATTTATAACTTGTGTTGGGCAAGGCCGTGGTCCAGGCAACATGGAGTTTTCCTCCGTGGCATCCCATTCACACACAGAAGAAGGCAATGGCAAACCACTTCTGGATCATCTGCCAAGAACGTATATGAACAGGTCCCAGTCCGAGAAAAGGATGGAAGGATCCTGTTCATATGGACCTGTCGTCAGACAGAACACTAAAAAAAAAAAAAAAAAATATATCGTGCATAGCATGGGGATGGTTAAACACGGACAACCGTACATGGTTATGTCTGTACCCCGCGATGAGGAAAAGCATTTACACTAAAATAGAATTTAAAGCGTACGTAATGAGGTAGCCCATGATTTGAATTATGCCCCACAGGTCGATCATTTCAGCTTCGCAAGCAACGTCACGTTCCGGCTTCGATACCTGGTGAACGCAACGCACTGGCGCAAACACGAGGGGAGACCCATATTCTTCTACACGGGCAACGAGGGGGACATCGAGATGTTCGCGCAGAACACGGTGCGTTTCACTGCGTTCAGCGATGAAGGGTTGATTGGATTGAACTGGATCCGGTTTAGACCACCGGAGACCTACTGGCGATAGTGAGCCACGCTTATTGGTTATTTTACGATTTGGTTTCAACTGCAAAGGTTATACGACTCGCATACTGACGAATGAAATGAGAAAAGTTCAAGAGGTAAGTATTTCGAAGGACGCTGTCGTGGCCTGTTATAAAGCAAATTCCTTCATTCTTGTGGCTATTTTGAGGGAAACCGTCCGCAATATCGGCCCACAGTTTGATGACTTCGGGCTGTTGCTATGGGTTGCTCGAAACAAGATGTTTGTCCGACGCGGACTTTGATCCGCGGGACCGATAACGATGCGACATTCTCGTCATTGGTCAGCGGATATAAGGACAACGCTTATCTTCCGTTCCTTCTTTATATTTCTTCCCTCTTTCCCATTAATAATCTGCGACGTAACTGACAGACTTTGGCACATAATTTTATTTTAGGCTATTTTAGCAAAAAAAATTCAAAGATGGCAGCTGAGCGAACTTCTCAGATGCGTGCAACTCTGCCGCTGCTTAAAGTACAGTCTTGATTTTATGTGTGGTAATATACCTTAAAAGTTAACATGTAGTTATCTAAATCAGCTTTCTTTTATAGAACGTAACACAGTTCTGCCATTGAATAATCTATATTTGGCTTTCAATTTTTTGGTGATAGATAACGAACAACATCAGTTAAGAATACAGAATTTGGCGTGGAGACCTCATAAACATGTCTAAAAATAATGCATGAAACGAATATGGCGATTATACGCTTCAACTTTCAAGTAGGGTAAATCTAATCTAGTAAACATTCAGTCTCTGTTTAAATGAAAATTGGCGACGTACGTTCCTTCCAGAACTTCTTGATAAAGGGTTTGATGGCTGCTGGACTGTTTAAGCGTGTGACTTTCCGCTCATATAACGAGATAAGTTCTCGCCCGGACAACAATTGAATCAAGGCTTGATGGATCACCTAGCTGACGGATCGTAGTTGTAATATACCTGTCATTCAATCTCTAAAAATAAATGAACAGTGCGATTACACAGCGTAGCCTATAAATCTTAATTAAACGAGTATAGCAGGGTAGTACGACACGTTCTTCAAGTTCCTGAGCACTGCGGGTCCCAACTTTTCGTAGGACTCCTTAGACGAGGGATCGGCCCGTCGCAAGGCCTCTACCTGTACACAGGACAGCACAACACAGAAGAACATCCATGGCTTGAGTGAGACTCGAACCCACGGTCCCAGTGTCCAAGCGGCACAAGGCCCACGCCTCAGACCGCGCGGCCACTGTGACCCCATAGCAGGATAGTTCCAGAACTATCAAAACTAGCAGAGTTACAAAACTAGTGCTCTAGAGGTCTGAGTCAAGGTTAGTCTGAAGAGATTATCGAGTGGATCTTGGTAAATCTAACAAGAAGGCGAGTTAGACAGTACAACAGTTGCGATGTGACGAAAATGAGCTTCAAAGTGACTGTTATGCATTGTGATACCAAAATTATTATTGCGTTGTTATGACTTCGCAATACCGAGCACAGAACCATTATCGTCCACCTTGAAAATATTGGATATCTTAGAAACCGAACCTCTAGCTTGCCAGCGCAATATCTGACGTTTGGGTCATTAGGATTCCAATTTAAGGTCGCGGAAAAACTTCACCAAAACGAAACAACTACCTGAAACTTTTTTTGACGTAAATACGTCTATAAGGAAGGGTCATTCGGAAAAAAAGGGGAACGAAAAAGTGTAACCTGGTTACCTAGGAAACATTACATTATCTTACATTACCTTACCGCCACGGTGGTCTAGCGGTCAGAACACTAGCCGTGTAAGCCTGGGGTCCCGGGTTCAATTCCCGGCGGTGCCCGAATTTATAACTTGTGTTGGGCAAGGCCGTGGTCTAGGCAACACGGAGTTTTCCTCCGTGGCATCCTAACAATTACTCCATTCACACACAGAAGAAGGCAATGGCAAACCACTTCTGGATCATCTGCCAAGAACGTATATGAACAGGTCCCAGTCCGAGAAAAGGATGGAAGGATCCTGTTCATATGGACCTGTCCTCAACTTCCTTTCCGTATAGACGTATTTATGTCTAATTCTCCGGAACCGTGGTTCCACTGTCAACTTTTTTCTTCGAAAATTATATCACGAACAAGTATCGGAGACTGCCTTGCCCTGATCGGTTTAACTCTCATTACGTCACAGACTCTGCTACCCGCCTCTTTTTTTAATTCTAGATTAGTTGCACGAGGAAATGAGACTGATAATATGATGCTGTTTAGAATGAAAATAAATAAAATACGATGGATGCTGTAAAATGCAGTCGATCCCACTGAACGTTGGTCGCAAGAATACTCGTTCACAGGTTCGATTCTTGTTCTGGGCATTGATTCTTTCTGCTTGTGCGTTGCCCTTGGATAATCTGTTCTCCATCTTGAGTGTTCCACCGATTTAGAAACCTCTGCAATGGAAAAGGTCAAGGCATTGGCCGGTGACCAGCGGAGGGGTCGGAGGAAGGACGCGAAAACTAATTTTGTTTATATCGAGATGTAAATCTTATCCCGTCGATTCCCGGCGGTGCCCGAATTTATAACTTGTGTTGGGCAAGGCCATGGTCTAGGCAACACGGAGTTTTCCTCCGTGGCATCCCAACAATTACTCCATTCACACACAGAAGAAGGCAATGGCAAACCACTTCTGGATCATCTGCCAAGAACGTATATGAACAGGTCCCAGTCCGAGAAAAGGATGGAAGGATCCTGTTCATATGGACCTGTCGTCAGACAGAACACTAAATAATAACTTCCTAACTCACGAAATTCAGTGCTATTATAAACACTGACGGTTCATCACAGTTACTACAAAAGCCAGCCATTGCACAGTCTCCAGAGTGTTCATTCCAATTGATAACCCATTTCCTTGCAGCTAATTTATCAATTTGTGCATCCTGCAGAGGACTGTAATGCCGACCCACGTTGTTTACGTTTGACAGGATGTGGGGACCCACAAGCTGATTGGCCACACAATTTCCTTTGGTGCTAATGCAGTAGCAAACGTGGGTGGAGTTTGTGGCTTCTTTGCAGGTTTTGTTAGCCACAGGTCGACTCTTAAAATAAAACACTCTCAACATCCATGTGCCAGTAAACTGGTGTCAAATTTAGATCTAGATTAGGTTTTAGTGAAGCACTTTTCTACAGAAATGCCTAGGCACAGATGGGAGAATAATATTAAAATGGCGATTACGACCTTCTGGGTTGTGATGCCATGTAGGTAGTACATTCCTCTGAAATGCTGGTAATCACCTAAAATATCATGTGGCATCACTACCAAGAAGACAATGCTGAGGGTGTGGACTGGATTTATCTGCCTCAGGATTAGGTCCAGTGGTGGGCTGTTATAGACACAGTAATGAACCTTTGGGTTTCATGAAAACCAAAATCATTCTTTTGGGTCCAAAGAGAGGTGAAGACTGGTTTGTGTCTGTTTCAGGGCTTCATGTGGGAGACAGCTCCTGAGTTCAGGGCTTTGATCGTGTTTGCAGAGCATCGTTACTATGGACAATCACTGCCATTTGGAAACAATTCTTACTCAGTGAGTGTTGATACGCTGGTATGAATGAAGAGGTCTTAAGGCGTCTTCAGTGACCAAAGTTTTTGAGACTCTTGATAAGTTATGATGAAGCTTGTTATGTGTATCACTTTCAGTCACCTTAAGGCCCACTTTATTTGGGGGTCTAAATATATTTTTGGGTATATTTTGTTAGAGAGAAGGTCTTGAATAAAGGTTGTCGTATACAACATTGGCTTTGAGCCTCTAATTTTGAGAATATCAGTCCCTATCAAGCGGATGGCAATGAAATCATCACACAAGCCCTTAAAACTGCCGTGTCACCTGCCTGATCACTTGATTAAAAACAAACATTGCATGTTCTTAGTCAGATGACATGCATCGTGCATAAAGTAAACACAACTCTTATAATACTGTCTCGTGGGACACACTTGCTGAAAATCTTGAGAGCTGTAGTTGTTTCTGCGCAGGAACCAAAGTACTTGGGCTACTTGACGTCTGAGCAGGCCCTGGCAGACTATGCCCTGGTGATTGCACACCTGCAGAAGGATCAGGATCGTCGCAGCCCTGTCATTGCGTTTGGTGGATCATATGGTGGCATGCTGGCTGCATACTTCAGGATGAAGTACCCCCATGTGGTGGCAGGGTGAGTGTCGCTTCTCTCCCTTCATTTAATACTGTAGAAACTGTTTCAACTGAATGCCATATTGACACATGTTAAATTATGTTGCGTATTTTACATAGTAGTGCACACATAGAACCATATTACTCCTGCCTAATGGTAGTCAAGTGACTGCTGATGAGAGCCCTAGTTACGTTGTCATTTCATAGGGAAGCTTTTTTGTGGTACAGTTTGATGCCATCATCATGGGCTTACACAGTGTAATAGTTGCTTGAATATAGAAATGTTTCTGTCTTAGCGACTAGACATCAGCAGAAGCTACCACTGAAAATATCCTTGTTTATTTACATATTCAGTCTGGAGACATTTGAAGGATGGGAGCTGTATTGTAGTTTGTTTACAGTTCAGCTATAAAAGTTATATAATGTTGAATGGAAGGAAAATTGTAATCCATGAATTAGAAATGATGTGGGAAAAATCATGACCCAGAGTAACCATGGTAACACTCAGTGAGGGTAGCTGGAAGGTCAGAAATCTTATCAGGAGTCAGTCTAGTTTGACTTGGCTGCAGTATCAACTTTAGACACTGAAATGCATTCAAGATTTAAATAGACTCAGCTTATGAAGTGTTGTGTGACCTCCACATCAAAACATTAACATTTTTTTATTTATCCTCACAAAATGAGGAGATGGCACCTTAAAACAGGCCTTGACAGGTTCCTTTCAAATACTTTCCATCACTTCAGTAACCATTCTCCTTTCTTGTTGTCACAGGGCAATTGCAGCATCAGCACCGATCTTCCAGTTCTCAGAGCTGACTCCCTGTGAAGCGTTTTCACGCATTGTCACTGCGGACTACAACAGTGCCTCTGCTGAATGTGCGGCTTCCATCCGTAAATCCTGGGCGGCGATTAACAATGTCACCAAAACTGGTAATGCTTATGAACACTTGATTTTCCAAGACTAGTAGTGTCTTGTCTGCTATCCCACAAAACAAAATGTAGCTCTCCTCAGCCCTTTGATCTCAGATGCCCGCAATGTATGTATATGTGTGCGTGTGTCTGAGAGAGAGAGATGTATTCTCTGCGTAGGGAGTCGCTGTTTGAGATTTTAGGTTAACACAGCAGTGAAGATATCAATAAACAGAGACAGTATGTTCCTCCAAATCGTCAGTCTCTACCTACACGTCACAAGGTGTTACAACTCAGAAGAACACTGACTTCTTCACTGCTGTCAGAATCTCATATGTCATACAGTATGCAAGTCTGCCCCTGATTTGTGTATACCCTTTGACTGTTGATTATTTTTCCACTCACTTAGTTAATACCAAATAACAACCAATTCAAATGTTATTTCATTTGTACAATTTTTTTCGTGTTCATATGTATAGACGCAGGAAAGTCTTGGTTGTCAACAATGTGGAAGCTGTGCAAACCGCTGAAGACATTGCATGATGTGAAGGACTTGAAGGGCTGGCTGTCAGATGTCTACACAAACCTCGCCATGATCAACTACCCATATGCAACAAACTTCCTGGCACCAGTACCTGCCAATCCCATCTCAGTGAGTCTGAAAATATGTAGTCTGCCGTACTTTAACCTGGATGAACAATCAGTCCTTTTTCAAGAAAACCTCACAAAATTGTGTTTGCAAATTTTGTGACTTACTAACTAATTGAACAGCTTATTACTGAGCAATTGTGTAATTAACTGAGTAACTAACTAAACAGTAACTGACCAACTTACTAAGTAACTAAGTTACAACAGAGCTTAGCCATTTGCAGAGCCAGGATTAATAATATCCCAGGCATTATTCATTAACTCACGTTATTATTAAGTAAATAACTAAGCAGCTAAATACGAGCACCCAATTATTTTATACAGAGGGTTACAAATCAGCAGCTTGTTCAAATGAGGAAAATCAAATATGTTTACAGAATTTTGATGTGGCAATCACATTTATATATTATTGAATTAAATATGAGTTAAATAGTTGGTGAAGCTGCAGAATGAACTGTAGTGACTACCTTGTGTCTGGTGCAGCGTTTGATGATTGAAGCATGATATCTTCAGACTGCTGCATCCCCAAAAAGAAATATGGTATAAAGCATGTTTAGGAACAAAAAAATTGACCAACCTAACCTAACCTTCCAGTATTTAGTATAACTGATAAGGAAGCTGGTGTGTTGTGCACTAAGAATGCTCATTTCTCTCACCTTCATAGGTGATGTGTTCTCATCTGCCCAACTCATCACTTACCGATAAACTTCTTGTGAAGTCACTCTTCAAAGCAGTCAGCATTTACTTCAACTACACAGGCAGCAGCAAATGTCTTAATATAGAGACTGAAGCTAGCTCCAATCTTGGAGACCTTGGCTGGGACTTCCAGGTACAGTTGCTGCATTTAATTTATTTTGCAAAGGAATATCACAGAATTACATTGGCACACTAACAAGAACAGTTATATTGCTCACACTTACAGCATTGTCCACATATAACAATTCTTTCTCATAAGTCCAATGAATGTTCTACAAATCTAATTATTTCATCAAGTTGTGAAGGATGAGATGAGCAGGATGCATGTAAGCTGTAAATTTCTTGACTAGCTGAGTGACTATTAGCTTCTCAAGAAGGATTCTGCACCATGTACATCTTTGAAATATATACAGAATTTATTAAGGATTTTTTTTTTGGAAAAATGTAAAATGAAACACAGGGACTGCATGAACTATTCTGTTGCAAGGTTTTATAACTGGTGAATCATACTAATGTGACGTCTGTAGTCTGTATGGTGACGTATTACAGACAAGTTAATCAAATGTGCTACATCGGTGGTGAGTGGTTTCCATTAATACTTTTTGTATATAAACTTCTGATCTGTTCTGCAGAATCAGTGGATTACAAAAGACAATTTTTGTTTTCTTTTAGGAGTTACAATTCATCTGCATGAAAAGAAACCCTTAGATTTTCAATGACCATATGTGCATCTGGTGAAGACAGTAAAGAGACACACATATCACTTGTTGTCAAATGAGTGTTGGTGTCCGTTCTGGGAACACTTCTTATCTCTCCTGCTTTACTTGTGTTAAAACAATTAAAAGGTTGCTACTCTAGCATAATCTCAGATTCAATTCTGCCACAGGCCTGTACAGAAATGGTGATGCCAATGTGCTCAGATGGACACAATGACATGTTCGAAGTTCAGATATGGGACTTCGCAAAGTATTCAGAAACATGCTACAAGAAGTGGAAGGTTCGACCAGATGAGAAGCGTGCCGTCAGATTCTACGGTGGCAAGGACATTTCTACGGCTACAAACATCGTGTTCAGGTAAAGTATTGGTATTGGGAAACAAGTTGGCACGTGATTGATCACGATTCTAGGAAATTTATACCGATTCTACTATTAATTTCAAGTGTGTTCGAGTAGATTGTAATGGGTGTTAGGATTTAAAACAGGAATTATATATTTGTTGCAAAATAAATGGAAATTGCAGCTAAATTAACCTGGTAATTTTATTAATTTCTAAATGTTTCAAAGATAGTTTTGATCTGCTGCTAATATAATTTCTGTATAATCTTTATAAAAACAATAAATTAAGACATGTCTTTCTATGCCTGGTCTTTGTTGTCCAGCGTCTTACCCACTGAGAACACAAGTCCACCTGACTGGGACAGAGGTAGAAATCGACATCCTTTATGGGAAAATCCGGTGGATGGGGCATGTATTTTGTTCATTACAAGATGGTAGTGAAGATGGGTGGTGGAAGGACATGCAGCTTAGCGCAGAATCTTAATCACAGTTGGGGTCTGATGTTCCACATATATATGAAATACAGTGGTTCAAACATTTATTGCCTGTGTTTTGCAGCAATGGACTGTTGGACCCATGGTCAAGTGGAGGTGTGCTGTATAACGTATCAAATTCAACCGTTGCTGTCATCATACCTGAGGGGGCACACCATCTGGATCTGAGAGAGAGCAACCCTGCTGATCCTGTCTCTGTTCGCACAGCACGTAAATTTCACCGCAAATTTATACGCCTTTGGCTTCGTAACTATAGGCTTCCTGCATGAATGTGTAGAGTTGGTTCACAGTGGTTGATTCCAGTTTGCACAGGTGATAATTCTGAAAGTGGTACCAGTCTAAACTCAGCAAAGTATAGAAAATCATGCATACAAACAACACGCTGCACGGTATGAAAGGTTTTAAGATCAGTGAAGTATCCTGATATGTTATTTTGATCATGTTTTGTATTTGTGGCTCCTGTAAATCTTTATGTTCCATACGAGACAATCTAAGTAACTGTTCCTTCTGAGCGAGGACCACGTACATAAGTTTGTGAAATTTTGTCTCTTACTCTAATGAAACAAAATGAATCAAGTGCTATGGATAAGATGAGTAGCAGGGGAACTGAAAAGCATCTCTGTGCTTCTGGTACTGACATCATAATTAATCAGTAACACAAGATAGGCTAGGCATGTAGTAGGAATGGGAAAATCAAATATGCAGGCAGCATATTGTTAGGGATTTTTCTTAATAGAAAAGAGCACAAATGGGAGAACAAAATTAAAATTGTTGTTACTGAATTAAGAAGCGCTTAAGTGGCTGTCGCCACAAAGGAGGAGGTCCAAATAGTAGTAGTTGTTGCTGTAGTAGTAGTAGTAGTAGCAGCAGTAGCAGTAGCAGCAGTAGCAGTAGCAGTAGCAGTATCATTGTTAGTAGTATGGTGAAACATATTGTAAACAGAACCTGCATTGAACAGAATTCCATCTGTCATGGAAAAATTCTTCAGTCTTCACAACTGACAGAAAATTAAAGTTAACTTACCTTTATTAAAGTGAAATTGTTTAGCATCATCAAAACTGAATGTGCATTTTTGTAAATCAATCAACATTTTTGAATGGGAATGAGGTGTTCTTCATAGCATATGTAGTCATCAGGTATCTCTGTCCAGGCTTCACTACCTTATGCCAGTACAGGTCTTGCCACATTTTTATGTATCTATGATGTTTTTCATTGTACGTATTGCATTAAATATACACCACACTGAAAGACAGCTCCCTTAAAATTTGTAGATATTAATGGAATCTATTTTATGTGCAAAATTTGATATTATTTGAACCGAATATTACAAAATATGTACTGAAGAACATAAGAAAGAAATTCAGCGTGCAAGATTCTGTTTAGAATTGTGATACCATATTTCAGATAAATGATTTGATTAGTTTTAGAGATATGGATAGCCAGACATTACCTCCCCATAAAGCCTTCATTTTGCGCACTGTCTAGAGAACATTACAAGTCTTGTGTATAAAATTACTAATTCATATGCCAGTTTTAACACTTCTGATACAAATCATGCATAAAATTTTTTATTTATCTCTAAATTCTTTGAACAACAATAATATACAAAGTAACAGCATTCAATTTTCATGTAAATATGACACATAAGTTAGAACAGTCTGCAACACTGAACACAGAATTAATGCATCAGTTTTCAGTTCAAACATAAAACACATAAATGAATTAAATAAAAATGTATCTGTAATGGAGACAGCGAGCAGATATTAAAATTGACAACTGTTCTTCTCCTACAATTCACCACACGTCACTATCCTTTGCTCATACCCCAGTCTTTGCAGATGACACAGCATCACTCAGTAAAATATAATAGACAACCCTAAAAACCAAGGCTTGGCCACTTGTTGGTACACAGGTTATTTAATAATGTTATATCAGCTGCAGAGGTTATTTAGCATTAATGTTAATGGTTTTGTTCACTAAATACCCCCCACCTGCACCCTGAAGGCACATGTAGTGCGTCCCACAAGTGACAAACCTCTATCTATAACCTACACCTCAAAATAACAAATGAAATATGGGGTCCTGGTACAGTTACAATAAATTAGTCTGGCAGAGCCTTGCAGATATGTGTGGAAATTCCATTTCCACCCCAGGCATCAATAAGAGCATTTTACCCACATCCACCTCAAACTTTTGGCGTGACCATGACACTGCAACATTACAACGTTCAGTAAGATGGTTGTCATGGTAAGGGTAAGTACAATGAGTTTACAGTATACAGTAAAGCTGTACAGCATGTACTAAGCTTTTGTGAATATGATAATGAACATTAAGTGAGTTTCTTGACAAGCTGAGTACCTTTTAACTGCTCAAGGAAGACATTATAACATGGAGTCAGTCAGTTATGCCTCATGTCTTCAGATTTCAGATATTCTGGATTTTAATATTTATAAAATATTATCACTTTATTGCGCGGTGACCCTCATAATTCACGACATCAGAGCACTTGCTGATAATGACGTGTGTGAAGGTTATGTCATATGGACCTTGAGGTGTTTTGTGAGGTCTCTCTTCTCAGCATAGTCTCTCTCACACAAAGAGCAGTGGAAACGTTTAATGTTGAGGTGACGTAACATGTGCTCCTTCAGCTTGTCGCCACGGCTGAATGCTTTGTTGCACATGTCACACACATGCTCTTTGATGCCAGTGTGAGTCTACAAAAGAATAAATGCATTATTAACTGATTATGCACAGTGGAAAAATATGGTATAGGAAAAGACAGGGTTGTGACTTTGGCGACATACAACACAAACCATTTACAGTTAAGTGGAACCAGAAAACTTAGACATGAATCTCTTTGCAACCAGTGACTGTTTAATGATGCAGATGATGGCTGGAAGAGGAAAATTACTGGAACAAGTAATTAACAACAATTGTAAATAATATATAATTTCTCATATGACATCATGTCATGTTATGCAACAGCTAAAAATTCCCATAGAAAAAATTATAATTGCCATGGACTGAGAGTGTTTAAGAACAGGGAGCTTAGGAGAATATCTGAACCTAAGACGGATGAAGTGACAGGTGGACAGAGAAAACTCCATAATTTGTATTCTTCACCAAACAGTATCAGAATTATCAAACCAAGGAAGGCATATGGGGAAGATGAAAACTGCATATAAAATTTTGATTGCAAAGCCTGAATGGAAGAACCACTTAGAGTGTCAAGAAATACAGTCTGGAAGTGTGGATTGAATGTATCTGGCTCAGGACAGGGACCAAGCACTCTTAGCTTCCCAAGAAGGATTCTGTCTCATGGAGTTAGTTAGTTAATGCAGATGTTGATGTTTACAAGATGCTCACCCGTTGATGTACTTTGAGCTGTGATCTGCTGATGAACTGTCGAGGGCATACAGCACAGTGATATGGACGGTCTCCAGTATGAGTCATGTAATGCTTCTGAAGGTAATCTGGTCGACTAAATGTCTTACCACACATCTGTTAATACAACAACAATAATTGATTTTGTTTGTGAAGTTAGGTATTGGGATTTCATAAAAGAAATGCAAATCTAAAATCATCCTTTTTTTACTATTATCAGTCACTCACTTAGATTAGACAGAATTAATCTTTTTAGAATATATCGTATAGTATTCACTGGATAAACATGCTAGTTGTAAATGCAGAACTTGATGACACAGACATTTTATAATGTACATGTTTCTTTGATTTAGCAAGCCATATTTGAGATAAATCATCGCAAACTTGAAATGAGTCTGTTTGGATTCACCTAGTGAAAGCAATACAAAATATGCCTGGTTTATCTTGTCATAAGTACATTTTCCATGTGAAAGTTAAAAAAAAAAAGTCTGAAGCCCATTTTCTGTTCATTAGCTAGTCTTTTCTATAGTTTTATACTCCGCAAATATTCTGATATGGTCAAAGCTATATCTGACTAGAGACTTACATCACAGACTGCACCCTTCTTGCCCCCATGTATATCCATGTGGCGTCGGTAGCTCAGTTTAGTCATGAAGCGCTTGCCACAAAGAAGACAGCTGAAACAGCCCCTGCCCTCATGTTCTGTCTGACAGTGCTCCTGTAAGCTTTGCACTGAGCCAAACCTCTGCAATTGATGTTCAGAAACAGTGGAAATAAAATGCTGCAGCAAACATCTTTCTATATACAAAAAATCAGCAAGATTAACTGGAAAAGGACACCATAATCACAGTGGTTACAGTGAAGTTGTTTGAAGAAATAAACAATTACGGAGTGTACAAATAGAGGACATGAGGAAGGGAAGAATAAGATAATGAGAAAGACCAAATAACAAAGATGAGTAGAACAGGAAGGAATTTGAAGAAGGCTGACTGGAAATATTAACAGTAATGAAATACAAAGATGGGAAATGTTTAAAAATAGGGCAACACCTTGAAACATTTGATACTAAGTAACCATTACAACACTTAAATAATCATAAGGCATGCCGTGATCCAGTGGATATTTATTGAAACAGATCAAAAATGTAATTTGGGTACCCAGAGTACCAGTCCACAATCCACTATCGACAAACTGGACGAAAATTATATTTGTTGATCAGCTCTTTATCTAGACTGTAAAATATCTTCAAAATATTGTTACACCAATTTGGAATCTAAGATTTTCAATCTTGTTTGATCACATATCTGTATGTGCTACATGTACCGAAGATAAATGCAAAAACTTCATCTTGGATTTACAGCTGCTGTAATACCTGGTGACACATATCGCACTGCCCTCGTGTGCGATGGTTCTCATTCTGATGTACCTCCAGGCTGCATGCAGATTGGAAAGTCTTCTCACACACCTCACAGATAAATATGGCCATCGTTGTGCTGCTCCCAGTGTCTCCGTCTTCTTCCTCAGCTTCTTCGCATTCTTTCTGCTTCACTGAAGTTGACTCTGGACTCGCAGTAGCCACAACAATGTGCATGATGTTTGATGCTGAACCACTGATATCATCACACTCTTTACTATGTTCTTCCCCATATGTCTTCAGCACCAATGACTCCATTGTCTGCTTAGAACCAAATGCCACTTTAATTGAATTCGACAATACCCCAGTTGCACTAGTCGTTATGAATGGTTTCAAATCCATAACTGTGACATTCTCCAGGGATGTCTCAGTAGCTGAGTCTGTATAACTAGTTTCAGTAGTATTCTGCGGTTCTGTCTTATTTTCAGTTCCTGCAAGTGAATCAGAACGGCTTTCCTCTTCTTCGGCATGATTACAGTTTTCTGAACTAGCCACACTCCCCTTCGCACATGGCTTAATTAGGACTGAATCAGCAGAATTGACAGCAACTTCTGGCACAGGTGTCGCCACAAAGTTGTGAGTAGTAATGGCAGCCAGTGTTGCAGGATGACAAGTCATGATGATGTCTGTTGTTCTGGTTATTTCACCCTTCAGTTCTCTCCCTTCATCATCATCAACCCATTCTAGTTGATCTTCTGTCGGTGTGAACACACAAGCCTCAACTAAAGAACTCAGTTGCTCAGAGACTTTTGAAGTAGATGTATCAGTCAAGGTCACTTCAGTAAAACTTGATTCTCCCATGGTTTGCGTACTTATTTCTCGACTGTATTCATGTCCAGGAACAGAAGGAATCTTCAGCAGTACACTCTAAGTAAATAAAGATATAAATAGGTTATAGATAACATACATCACACAGTTAAATAATAAATTGCAATGCCACATTAAAAATTGTCACACAAAACTCAAGACTCATGTGTCTGATCATTTGTCTTAAGAATTAAATTAACTTTTGTACTACATTCTTTATAAAAGTATAGATTAATACCTGAAGACTTTTTACAAACTGGAGCAGCAGAAATTGGTATTTTATTTGAACTGAAAAATCCACAGCAGTACCCTGTAGCTGAACTGAGTACGTGGTTAGAAGACCACATTCTGCCAACTGCAAGCAGTCCATATTAACAAAGATTAGAATTCTTCAACTTAGTACAATGAATATGACATTGGTGCAAAATCAATCCCAAATACTGCAGAAGTACTTTTAAATATATATTTTGAATTACATAGTCAAACAAGGCACTATCTACATTGTTTTATCTTATTGTTGATGCAAAGTAAATGTTACGAAATTATTACCCTCATCTATTGCAAAGTAATCAAAAACCTCCAACAGTTATACCCCATTATTTAAAAGATGTCTCTGACGGTTCACAAAAATACCAACTGTCAAATGAAATTTTATGTTTATAATAAACATAACCTTACCAGACTTAGTTATATACCTACCCCTATGAAAAAGAATTCCAATACTTTTGCAAGCTCAATAAGTGATTCGGTTGTTGCAACCGTTCCCATTATTTCTCTTTGGTTATATTAATTTCCTTTCCGTACACCATGGCCCTGTCCCACATAGATGAAGAAGTAATTACACTTCTTGACGTCCAAGATGGTCATGCTTTACGACAACGTCAATGTCACCAATACTAGATACTTGAAATTTAGTTATCTCATAGCATATAAAGTATTGTCCTGTAAAGTCAATGCATCAGTTGGCTCAGATGTCTTGTTATTTACAGCAGTAATTATACTTTGCAATCATGGTGAATTTAATTTCAATAAACATTGTGATAAAAGACCCATAAAGTTGTCTAACATGCGACCCAAAGACAAATGAATACGAGGCCAGCAGAAGACGCAATCGATAGTGTTGTGCTGACAGAAACAATTGTTTCGTAAAGAGTTGTTTAATATTACACCAACGAAAATGCCTGTAAGTATATTTTCATAGAAAATTACTTAAATTTAAAACACACAACGTATATACACGCTGATAACACTTAATAAATCAATGCAATCTTGAACATGTTACTGTGAGTGAAAAGATACTTTACGTATGAAACAAACTTGTCAATGCAAGTAGTTACAGTCTCCATCATTTAGAGTAATCTTAAGTACTTTTCATCTGTGTTAAGATATGATCTAATAGTGATGACTTAATTTAGATGGGCATTTGCGACAGAAACTGTGTGCGATCCAAAGTCAGTGTTGGGGTTTATTTGTCAGTGCCACATTGGAAGGTTACATTAGATATTGGTGAACTGATTTTGATAAAGTGAATTATAGTTATAAGAATAAATCTTGTGTAGTAAGAGAGTATCATCACTAATAATTATGTTAGAGCTGTGGACCACACAAACCTCATGTTAGTCAGACAGTCTTCTGTATAGAGAACTGAACTTAATAAATTATATTTATGATATTTCAGTTTCTTATGGTGGCTGGTATGAAGAATGGTGTCATGTGGGGTGCTCCACCAGAAACTGTTGTAGACGTTTATCAATGTTCTATAGGTGCTTGCTGGAGGTAGAAAGCAGTTCTGACACGAGGACAAACTATGCCAGAGTTAAGGGTGCAGCATTTCATAAGATAGTTATCTTACCTGTATTGATTGACTGTCACCTAATTGCTCACTTCTTCATGTTTTAAGGCAAAACTTTCTTCTGAGCAGTTTGTTTTCAAGTACTTGTAATCCCATTTTAAGCATCTGTTTCTGTTGCTTGTTGTGGCAGATGTGTGACGATGGTGAAGTGGAAAATGTGCGTGTAGTGGTGCGTGTGCGACCCCTTAGTGAAAAGGAAATTGAAACAGGGTACCAACAGATCACGAAAGTTGACACTGTCAACAAGACCATCACCGTTGAAAATCCACAGGCAGCAGATGGGGAACCACCAAAGACTTTTACATTTGATGTTGTTTTTGACACAGATTCAAGACAGGTAAGTTATAAGTGTTGCTTTACTTGGTTGATATATGTCAGAATAATTCATTGTAACTCAGTGTGTCCACTTCAGACATATCAAAGCAATTATATGTGGCATGCTGCAGCAACTTTCAAACAAGGTGAACCTATATGTGAGCCCTTTTAATACACACCCATCTGAAATCTATCAATAACCTCATCATAAGATTCCTGTCACTAAATTTCTATGTGTTAGAGAAGTGTAACCAGGTGAATAATTCTATAGTGTAGGAGCAATTGAAGCTTTTGTATACCTTTACAAAATGGTGACCACTTATATAGGCCTGTTATGCATCATTGTGAACAGTATTGTGACATAGTTAATCCTATTTGTTGTCATATATCTTCTATTCTGCTAGGAAAGTTGAAACAAGCTTTTACTCATATTGTGATATATGTTTATATTTCTCCATCAGAACGAATAATCTTCTGGCCAGGATATTGGCTTTCTTGACAGAAGCTAATCATATCACTCCTCAGTCCCCTCAAGCAGATGTTAGCTTTAGATGTTAAAACATTATTACCCATGGTAGGGATGTTGATTCTTTACTTTGCCAGCTCTCTCTTAATATGTTGGAATGCCTTCTTATCCCAACCATCTGTTTCAACACACCATCCTTTGTGATTGATATGGTATGAGTAAGTAATGTATGGACATGTTACACAATGAATAAATGATTTTGCAGATGGATGTGTATAATGAGACTGCAAGGCCAATTGTGAACAAAGTGTTGATGGGATACAATGGGACAATTCTAGCCTATGGACAAACGGGTACAGGGAAGACGTTCACCATGCAGGGAGACTGCATGGCTCCAGAACTGAAGGGAATTATCCCAAACTCATTTGCTCACATCTTTGGTTTCATAGCCAAAGCAGCAGAACGTAAGAAGTAAGCAGAACTGTTAGCAGTTGTTTTACAAAGAATCTTTAGTGATAATTTGTAACTAGATATTAACTTTTAATACTTTTTGTCTCTCTCAACATTCTTATCCTTAAAATATAGATGCTTTATGGGAAATCTTTCCCAAAATAATGTGTGCTTTTTAAAAATGACATCAGATGGTGATGATGATAATGGTAAGTAAAACATTATCATGTCTATGTGGTATAACATGAAGTGTTTAGAGGCATGTGGAGGTCAGGAGCTATCTATTCGTCCTGTAGAAATCTATATCATGTTCAATGTTGTGAAGTGACTTGTGCATAACTCACTTGTATCTTGCAATAACCATCAGAAATAAAGATTTAAGGTTCTCATGACAATGAGTATAGCTATTTTATGGGATGTTACACTGTAGTCTGATAGGGGTTTGATCCCTGATGATGGAGGCAGTGAACTTCTGTGAACCATCTGTCATTATCTTCAAGACTGCAAGGTGCAACATCCCAGAAGACAGCCACCTTCAGCAGAAATTAAGTTCATAAAGAGAAATGAAATGTGTAAAAACTTGCGGTTTTCACAGTCGTGAATCTGTGGGTTTCTGCAAGCTCACACATTACTACCCAGATGACTGCTGTTGACTGATATGAAATTTGTTCTCTGAGACAGATTTCTGGTTCGTGTATCACACATTGAGATATATAATGAGGAAATTCGGGACCTGCTGGGAAAGGACCAGACCGCCCACCTTGAGGTGAAAGAACGGCCTGATATTGGGGTATACATACGGGACCTCTCAGGGTACGTGGTAAACAATGCTGATGACATGGAGCGAATCATGACTCTTGGAAATAAAAACAGTAAGTAGACATCAATCTGTAGTCTGTATGAGTGATCATTTCAGAATTTCTTTATGTTTTCCATAGTTACTGAAGGAAGTTTGGTTACTTTACAAATTTTACAACGAAAGATAAATTTATGATTTTATATCAAAGTATCCATCTGTTCATGTGTTGTCTCCTCCAGTACCTTTTGAACCAATTAACAGATTGTATGGATCATTTCTGAGAGGTGACCCCACATTTGTATCTTTTAATTATCTTCACAATAAATCTGCATGGCGTGGTACTTCGTTAAGTGCCAGGGACAGTTTAACCTTTGCAAGATTTGAGCTTTTCACTGCAGGGAGTCTGAGGATGGCTGTCTTCTGGGTTGTTGTGCCTTGTAGTCTGGTAGAATTTTACCGATATTTCAGAGGTCCTTGCTGCCTCAATCATCAGGGCGATGATGGAGGCAGCATTGCCCTAATGATGGAGGCAGCAAGGACCTCTGAAATGAGTAAACTTCTACCAGACTACAAGGCACAACAACCCAGAAGACAGCCATCAACTTTACGTGTATCATCCTAAGTACATATTCAATATTTTTTTTTAAACAGGGGTGGTGGGAGCAACAGCAATGAATTCCCAGAGTTCTCGTTCACATGCTATCTTCACGATTACAATTGAGAATGGGGATGTGGGAGAAGATGGCAAACAGCACATCAAGATGGGAAAGCTTCATCTTGTTGATTTGGCTGTAAGTTATCATCGCCAACAGTATTCTGATTCCACCCTCATGACTTCATGTCTGTTTTCTCCAGAACCTCAAACCTCATGTATTATCTCTGATCTCTTGCTCTAAGATAAGAACAAAAGTTACTGTCTCCTTTATTTATGCAGGTTATTCCGTGGGAAATTTGTAGTTACTTTGCTGGTTAAAGATTCCCTAGTTTCATGCAGTGCAAATATTGATTTTTATATTTACAAAAGCAAAATATTTTACTCTGGTCTTGGAGTGTATGTTGGTTATCCTGTCTGGGCTTTTTGATGTTTTATTTATAATTTGTAATTATCAAATGACACAGACAGGTAGCCAACACTCATGCTTCTTATTTAGGAGGTCACATATTCAAATCTCAACCTAGAGACCAACTGTGCTGACTGAGGGTTGTCATGGTTTTGCTCAGACCCTGTAGGCAAATGCAGTGATAGTACCTCAAATTACGCCATGACTACATCCATTCATATCGTTCTAAATCTGTAAATCATGCAGTCTTTGACGCTGTGTAGTCTGAACTAGTGACACCAAACAGTATTTGTAATTGAATTTGGTGACTCAACTGTTTAACCGAAATACCTGTCCCATGTAACTTATTACCAGGGATCTGAGCGTCAGAGTAAGACCGGTGCCACAGGGATGCGTCTGAAGGAAGCCAGCAAGATCAACCAGTCCCTCTCCACACTTGGCAACGTCATATCGGCATTGGTTGATGGCAAAAGCACACACATTCCATACCGCAACTCGAAGCTGACGAGACTGCTGCAGGACTCCCTGGGGGGGAACTCAAAGACTGTTATGGTTTGTACTGGCTGATGTTGATTGTTGTCTTAACCTCTTCGCTGTACAGATTACTGAGCAGCCAGTGTAGCAGTATTCAGAGGTACTGGTTTGAATCTGAGTCAGTGTTGCCAATGTTATACCTGAGATTTTTGACAATTTTCTGTAGTCCTTTCAAGCAACTGCAAGATAATACAGTGAAACGTCGATGCATCATTTTTGACGGGGGAGAGAAATAAAAACGATGAATACAGGAAAACGACAGCTGCGGGAAAGCACAAAAAATCAGAAAGAAAGAAATTAAAACAGTGCATTTTTCTCTTTGGCATACACAAAAGAGTACACATAAAACCTGTTTCAAAGTAACTTCTTTTTGCCAAAAAAGTCTTTAATGGACAATTGTTTTATCGAAACTTTACGTTTTAGGCGAAACAGAGCCCTTTCCATGTTCAAAATGTTTTCCCCAACGCCTTTGATAGTATTGTGCTCGTAAAAGAACTAATTCACTTTTACGCCAATCCAGCCTGTGCTTCGGCAAAACTCGGCACAACTTCGGGCTCGCATTCGTCTTCTTCCCCTTCCACACCGCTCCCGACCCATTTGTATCTGTCAAAAACTCATCGATGGTATCGACCGTGCGTGTGGCAAGCTCGTTGTGCCACTTTCGATTTTAATTTGTCTCTAAAGCGATCATTTTTAATTTAAAAAACATTGCGTAAATTTCGTTATAAAACGATCAGTGCGTGAAAATTGGGGGCCAGGATTAAGAATTTTGAACGATTGATGCGATAAAACGACAGTCCAAAAAATGATAGAAGCTAGGAAATGTAACATTATTTTATATGGGACTTATCACGGACCGAACGAAACGGACGATGCGTTCTGGAAAACTTTAATTCGGGGGAACGATGGATAGGTTAGGTTTTGTTGTACATATTCCATTCAGTTTTTCATTCTCAGCCATCCTGTCATTTAGCTTTCAATATTACTTAACCACATGATACAGCATATTGAAAATTAGTGAATAAAGAAAGATCTAACATAAGTCCTTTTGATCAATATCCAGTGTGCCAACATAGGGCCGGCAGATTTCAATTATGACGAGACCATCAGCACGTTGCGCTATGCAAACCGTGCCAAGAATATAAAGAATCGTGCTCGCGTGAATGAGGACCCAAAGGATGCCCTGTTGCGACAGTTCCAGTCGGAAATTGAGGAGCTACGGAAACAGCTTGAGGATGTTGGTGTGACCCATAATGGTAAGTATCTCTGAATGAGAATGGTGCTTGTGAATGTATTTACCTTTATTGTCCATATGATGAGGCATACACATGATCCAGCTGGTCATTTGTCGCACTTTCATTTTGTTAAATTGTTAAACCCTGGAGCTAAATGCCAGTTGTCAGCTTAGTAATTCAGAGACTTAAATCCTCGGTTTATCCGCATGATGCCTTGAGGCTGGGTTTGAATTACATATATATGTTAATAGATGCTGAATATCTGATTTCCAACACTTTCTGTTGCTTATCTTGAGCACAGAGCTCTTGGTAAGTGTCACTGAGTTTCACAAAACAGTGTGGTAAATTCTTGCGTAACCTAACATCAGTGACAGTTATAAAAATTACAGGAAGACTGAGCTATGAAATAATGAATAAATGCTTAAATAGATCTCTAGTGAAAGGACATTTGTCTTAGTAGTTCTACAGAGCAAGATATCCTTGAAACCTGTAACATTTAATAAACAGGCATTTTATTTTGTTATAATCTAATTTTGTGGCTGAATGAATGTATTTGTTTCAGGATTTGCTGCTGCTGAGAGTGAAAGTGACTTAAGTGAGGGCAACAAGGATGGGGAGAAGACACCAAAAGAGGAGAAGGACGCTGGCTATAACAATCTGTTGCAAACATTGGATTGCCTAGATGACCTGGAACTGCAGGTGAGAGCTTACAATATTTATAAATATAAATATTTAACTACTTATAAGAACACTGTGGCCGTTACTTCTGGTTGAATTTAACAATGTGCAGTTTATCGCAGAGGGACACATTTTTTGATGTCTGACTGTGGTTCAGGCATTTACTTATTGAGTTTAATGGCTTACAGTGTGTATTCTTCAGGATTTATACACCAACTAAGATGCAAAGTTGAATGTGTTACCGAGAGTGGGCATTCTGTTGCAGCTGAAGGAGATTGACAAAGCTCCAGAGAATGAAGCTGATGATGAGGATGATGGAAAAGAGAATAGTGATGAAGAGAAGCACCAAGTAGAACTGAAGAAGACACAGTAAGTGATGAACTGTGGCATGGGAACAATTAATTTGCTTTAAATTGTTTTAATACACATCTTCTTCCCAACTAGTATAATTGTTCAAATATTGGACATGAGTTCGATATTTCCAATTTTTGCAAAGTAACTTTGGTACTACAGTGGAATCTTGACGCACATGGAAACTTACTTTGAATGCCTTCTTCTTTTCTCAGTTTACCACTTTATGTCTTCTTATAAGTACAATTTTCTGGCCCCCATAATTTCAACTCTGTCACTTTCTCCACATGTTGATTCTTTTTTCCATTCTGCCAAGGTCTTCGTATAAAATTATTAGGTTCACTCAGCCTTCTGACCAATGGGTATCAGGGGTTTTCCATGGGGGGAGGGGGGGAGAGCAAACTGTGTGAAGCTTACCACTGCTGTCCATCTACTGCCAAGGTGAAGAAAGATTGAAGGTATAACTTTACTTTCTCACATGTGACATGGCTCTTAGTTAAGCACCCAAGACACCTATATATGAAATATAAAGAAACTGAAAGTTAGAGGTGCAAATAATTGTTTTCACAAGTGTAATGTTGACATTAAGTTCAGATATATTGGGCATAGCAGTAATAAAGAGTTAATTATGTTCCTTGCAAAAGTGCAAGACAGACAGACAGAATTTGTTTGGTCTCTAGGAGTGAACATGATGCTCTCAGGGAGAAGCTACTGACTCTGGAGAAGAAAATTCTGGTTGGAGGGGAGAATCTCTTGGAGAAGGTCGAGGTTCAGGAGCAGCTGCTGGAGGCATCGGCCCGTGAGTTGGAGCAGCGCCGTTGCAAGGAGGAGCAGTTGCGGCAAGCATTGCAACAGAAGGAGGTACAGTACCACATTGCTTTGTTCCTTCATTCTTGTGAACTGCATATAATGCCATTTTTTGGGGGTAGTAGTTATGAACTCTGAAGAGACTAATTATTATGAGACACAAATATTTAACATTTCTGGGACTAATGTGTGGCAGTGCCAGGACAAATTATAATTACTAGGTGCATGTTCTGCCAGGGTATCATAATGTCAAACTAAAGTGGGGTAACTATAAAGATATGGACCAAAGTTAAGGTTTTTAATGAGAACTGTACCTAAGAATTTTATCTGAATATGTTGTAAAAATGTTGGTGCTGGTTTCTAGGTTGTAAAACCATGTGGACTTGTAGGTAGATACCAGTGTTTCAGAGAAACATATTGCCTCCAACTTCAGCTCTGAAGAAAGAGGCAATATGTTCCTGAAATGTTGGTATCTGCCTAGAAGTTCACGCGGTGTTGTAACATTGAGACATGAGTTCGATATTTCCAATTTTTGCAAAGTAACTTTGGTACTACAGTGGAATCTTGACGCACATGGAAACTTACTTTGAATGCCTTCTTCTTTTCTCAGTTTACCACTTTATGTCTTCTTATAAGTACAATTTTCTGGCCCCCATAATTTCAACTCTGTCACTTTCTCCACATGTTGATTCTTTTTTCCATTCTGCCAAGGTCTTCGTATAAAATTATTAGGTTCACTCAGCCTTCTGACCAATGGGTATCAGGGGTTTTCCATGGGGGGAGGGGGGGAGAGCAAACTGTGTGAAGCTTACCACTGCTGTCCATCTACTGCCAAGGTGAAGAAAGATTGAAGGTATAACTTTACTTTCTCACATGTGACATGGCTCTTAGTTAAGCACCCAAGACACCTATATATGAAATATAAAGAAACTGAAAGTTAGAGGTGCAAATAATTGTTTTCACAAGTGTAATGTTGACATTAAGTTCAGATATATTGGGCATAGCAGTAATAAAGAGTTAATTATGTTCCTTGCAAAAGTGCAAGACAGACAGACAGAATTTGTTTGGTCTCTAGGAGTGAACATGATGCTCTCAGGGAGAAGCTACTGACTCTGGAGAAGAAAATTCTGGTTGGAGGGGAGAATCTCTTGGAGAAGGTCGAGGTTCAGGAGCAGCTGCTGGAGGCATCGGCCCGTGAGTTGGAGCAGCGCCGTTGCAAGGAGGAGCAGTTGCGGCAAGCATTGCAACAGAAGGAGGTACAGTACCACATTGCTTTGTTCCTTCATTCTTGTGAACTGCATATAATGCCATTTTTTGGGGGTAGTAGTTATGAACTCTGAAGAGACTAATTATTATGAGACACAAATATTTAACATTTCTGGGACTAATGTGTGGCAGTGCCAGGACAAATTATAATTACTAGGTGCATGTTCTGCCAGGGTATCATAATGTCAAACTAAAGTGGGGTAACTATAAAGATATGGACCAAAGTTAAGGTTTTTAATGAGAACTGTACCTAAGAATTTTATCTGAATATGTTGTAAAAATGTTGGTGCTGGTTTCTAGGTTGTAAAACCATGTGGACTTGTAGGTAGATACCAGTGTTTCAGAGAAACATATTGCCTCCAACTTCAGCTCTGAAGAAAGAGGCAATATGTTCCTGAAATGTTGGTATCTGCCTAGAAGTTCACGCGGTGTTGTAACATTGATATCTTCACTGCTGTGAGAACCTCAAATCTCAAGTATAAAATTATATTTCCTAGCATTTGGAACTGGGGAAGTGTTATAACTGATAGCATCATACAGTGACATAAATACAATCAGTATGCTGTTCTGATTACTGACTTGTGCAGGCAGAGCTGATTGACATTGAGGAGCGATACTCGACTCTGCAAGAGGAGGCAGCTGGCAAGACAAAGAAGCTGAAGAAAGTGTTTGGGATGCTGATGTCTGCGAAGGCAGAGCTAAGTGACTTGCAATATGAGCAGCAGCGTGAGATGGAGGGGCTTCTCGACAGCATCCGCAGTCTCACGCGCGAGCTGAAGCTTCAGGAGACAATCATCGATGCCTTTATCCCTCACCAATACCAGGCAAATAATATTTTCTCTTTGTTTTTTGTCAGTACACACCAGATGACTCTGTGCTGTGTTTGTCTTCTATGGTGGTAAATACAGTAAACTGTTTTTTCTCCTAAAACACTTCCCAAAGTGATATATTAAGCACAGTGCCATTTATAACACATGTCTTAGCAATTTATGTGCTAAGAGTGAATGAGTCATCTTAGAGCTTTACACCTTAATGTCTGCAGGAGATGCTGGAGCGGTATGTGCACTGGAACGAGGACATCGGCGAGTGGCAACTGAAGTGTGTTGCCTACACTGGCAACAACATGCGCAAGACACTGCCCACTCATTCTGCTGGTCAGGGACGGGAGGTAAGTGATCTGTCCTTGATTCATCTACAGGTATATATGTTGTAGATGTATGCTTACAGCGTTGTTCCCATTTTCATACTTTTAGGATTCTATTATCAGCAACACTAACATGGTAGCCACACAGATGTGTGAGGTTCGAGCAAAAGTAGATCTTCTAATTTCCCCAGTTTGAAGCTGTTAAATCAAGAACTGGTTTAATAAATAATTTAACAGTGATGTATAAACTGCAGACAGTATGTAGCACTGAATGAGACTGATGAATGGATTAAAATAATTATTGCAAACTTCCAGTTAGTATCTTCAAGTCTGACCAGAGATTGGACACAAACCAAATGCTTGCATATGTGAGCCTGTCGCTTTACTGTTGAAACATCTGTACTTGGGGCAGGAGTCATCAAATTGCAAGAATAATATGAACCAGCAAACTCTTACATTTGTCATTGAAGGATTAGACAATAGATTGATTGGGTTGTAGTTGACTTAACTGCCATGGTTATATAACATGTGCCTGTTCATAAGACAGTCCATTAACTTAAGGTGTGAGACTTATGCCTGAACTAACCAAAATATTTTGTGTATTGTGTTTTCTGTCACAAATTTGTAATACTGCTTGTTACAGCAATATCAACAACCAGATCTGTCACATGTATATCTCTCCTACTTGTCGGATCGTGTCACCAACGCTGTGCGACCAACGCGGGCCAGCACGGCCAAAGGCAGGTCGGCTCAAGTGCACCGATCTGGAGGAGCCAGACCTGCGTCGTACCGCAAACCCAGCGATGTGTCTTAGATGGAATGTGAAGTCTCGGTAATATCTAGTCCACATGGGCCTTCATGGTCCTGTACCACCATTATGAATCATCACATATTTGATATCATTGCATTGTACCACTTATTTATTTGAATTAATACTACATCAGTGAAGCCTTTTTTGTTGTGGTTTTCACAGATGTTTCATAGAACAGTTGCTAACCATTTCCTTTTTCACACCAGATCCTATCCCTAAGGATAATGGACATCTTAAAAATCTATTTGTTTTCCAACCACCTTTATTTCAAGAACATTAATCCTTAATATAAAAACTTTTGCTCTTTGTTCTGAGAACCAATTACAATCCATAAATAGACTCAGAGGGACATGCAGCATTGAGAATGTAAAAGCAGATGGTACACTTCCACTGACTGATCTATGTAAGGTTAAAAAATTATATGAGGCATGATACAAATGTATGGCTTATGGGACTACTATGTAACATCACATTTCATAGAAGACAAAATTTACAAATATCTTCTGACATACATAGATCCTTCCCCCTTATATTGTATACCTTTACATACTTTTTGGGCAGTAAGGTGATCCATCATCTATGTCGAAAACTGTGCATGTAGCATATCAAATTTAAACAAGAAATACAGTGTCGTCGAAAAAGAATTCCAGGATTTCACACTCAAATATATTTCGACATAAAGGACCTAAGTTGGTCCTTTATGTCAAAATATACTTGAATATGAAATCCCAGAGTTCTTTTTGATTACCCTGTATATTCATTCTATACATGTTCATGGCAGCCAACTGGTAACTGTATAGGTGCATTTTTATTTCATATATAGGTTCTCTTTGCACCTTGTCACACAGCCTACTTTGAAAAGTGCCATATTTTTCCTTGAAATTCCTCCTGAAATACTGATGCACATTATATTTGTGCATGTTACATATTGTTATGTTCTCCCGCCACTGAAATTGTGCATAAATAAGTCTGTTTTTCAGGTGCCCGCAGAAAAGGAAATGTACATTATTCAGGATGTAACTCGAAAGTCTGATACAAATTCAATGGTGAGTCTATACACGATAACAACAAAAAAGTTAATATCAACATGAGTGTGGAAAAGCCTCTTTAGTTACAGATATTTACCATTATAAATTCTGACGTAGTGTCATTATTGTTGAAGGAGTGAGAATCCGTATGGAAGTATGGCTGATAAAGGGCCCATTGTCATGCCCTCTAGATGTTACGTGAGTGAATATGAAGCAGCAATGAAATGATACTGACAGGAAAACTGGAGATTCAGAGAAGAACCTGTCCCAGTGCCACTTTGCCCACCACAAATCCCATACAGAAAGACCAAAGTGATACCCAGGGCATTCTCTGTGAGGAGCCAGTGACTAACTGCCTGAGCCACATTTTTTAAACGGTGTTTGGTCATCAGAGTCTTTAGCATGTCATTTGATACCATGAATAAAACAAATGAGTTTTAGAGTGCAGAGCTTCTGAATTTGGACATTGCAAACTTTGTCATAAAAGGCACTGGTAGTGCTGCTGCCAAACGTTCCTATGACTGTGCCATGTGACCTTTCCGTCATAACTCTCCTTCCCTCTGTGCTGTCCAGTGTTGCTTCGTTATCAGTGGGGAAGTAAGGTCAGAACTTTCAGAATGATAAAGAAAGCTATAACTGAGGACTGAGGTGGAGGCTTTTCCAAACTGATGTTTATATGAGATACTTTGTTTTGATGTACGGAACTTTACATTACACCTTGTATTTGGTGAACTATGGTAATATATACAAGTGCACATCTTGCGATATGATGGGGAATCAACACACTATTCTAAGATCTAACATAATGTACTTCATACATAACACATGAGAATCATCGTAACAGTCAACAAACTATGGATAAATGATGCACATCTTTAGGTTCTACTGCCACATTATTTTTGTTCAGTTCATTATGCAAGTTAAAACTACTCTGTTCTTCATGCACAGTCTTGCCAACTGTATTCTCTAGTACCTCCGGCTCTTCAGTGCCAAGTGCTTGGTATAAAGCTTTAATTGCATCAGATTTTACAGGTGGGATGTTTTGCTCAGAGATCGGTCTTTCTGCCACGGACTGTCTTAACTTCACCATACCCAAGATCTGGTACAGGACGTTTGTCTGAGGCGGTTCGTACAATACCGCTTCTGGCTCACTTGAATCTGTATTTTCATAGAAGAGAAATAGGTTAGTAAGAGAACAGTCTCAAATGTCCCAATTTCTGATAATATATTATACTATGGTCACTCTTACATTATGTAGATAACTCTGCATTTGAAACAAGTTTCAGAACCTGTGAAAATAGATTCAGCTGTTTCAAACATACAGTAAAATGGCTCTTTGAACTTGAGAAGCTTCTTGAAATTACCCATGGAATCGTCAGTGGCAGGAGGAACCATTGAAAGAGCTTCCTGCGCGTTTGTTTGCCCCAATTTAGCTGCAGCAATGAACAGCTGTCGTGCATGGTTGCAGTCCACAGGAACTCCACCCCACCCATGAACATAGAAGACACCAAGATTGTACATTGCTGTTGCATGTCCCCACTTTGATGCCAGCTCATAGTACTTTGCAGCCTGTAGAATAGAATAACAGTGCACATTTATCTTAGATATGTCTATGATTTCCCCTACTATCTGGCATAATTCTTGCCCTTTTTCTTAAAATACAGCATCATTCATTCATTAATTTACTCTAGCAAGCAAAAGTTAGAAACTTCTCCTGACATTGCACCATCACATTCTTGGCCTTTGCAAATCTCTCCTCCTCTTTGGATTTTACTTCACTAAACTTGTGTTCTTTGCATGAAATACAAAAAGTAAATGCATTTTTGACATATTTTATGGGGGTGAATTTAATTTTCATTCATATGTCGCCTGCTTACGCAAAATTGAAATCATACTTTGTTAAAAATGGATCATCATACAAGACATGCACATAATATGAAACAGATCTATTGAAATGCACAATTTTTAATCTAAGTATATTTCAGTACTGTGATATGAACAAATGCAAATGAAAACAATTTATGACTCCACTAGCAATAAGCTTTGCAATAGTAGATTTGTATCTGTAATGAATGAATACAAAAGCCAGTGAGGTACATAAAACTCAATATCAGCACACATTTTAAATGTTTAAAGCATTTCATCTCTAATTTATTATTTCTTCATCCAATGAATATACTGCATTACAAAACCAAACATTTCTATAAGTATAAGGAAGTTACATGTTATCAATCAGCTACCGTCTTCACTCCAGATGAATTCTGGGATTACTACTTTAAAACTCATCATGATCACTTTCTTTCATTCTTCTGAATACATCATTCATAATAATCCTGTCATTTGATCCTACATAACCCATGTAACATAAATCAGTGTCAAATAAGAAATAAAAATTAAAACCTTACAGGCCACAACCACATCCCAAATATTCTTATGTCCCTTCTGACATCTTACAGTATCAATGCATTTTGTTGTATACCAGTTTGAAATCCTGCGGTGTCCCAACTCCAGTCTCATAGCACAGCCCCAGATTGAAGGCAGCAGGAGCATAGCTGAGCTCCACAGCCCTCTGGAAGTAAGTGTGCGCCTCCTTATACCTGCCAAGCTGCATGCACGCGACTCCCAGCCGATTCTCAATGCCACTTATCACCGTGTTCTGTGCCCTAGTTAGACTGACCGCTGCCTCATCCAGAGCCTGCATCAGGTGAGACTTTGAGCTTTGGTAGCAGTGAGAGTTTGATGATCGTAGTCCTAAATTACTATGTGACTTTCTGGAGGCTGATGCACTCAGATTCTAATGATGATACTATCACTACTACTGTAGTCAAGCCAGCTCAGTCATTAAAGTGAGTGAGCGGAAGCTAGATACCAGAGTTTGCATAAAATTTTTAAAGTTTCCATTTTGGCAAATGGAAGACTTTCAACATTAGAAGTGGCTTATTCCTGAAACCCAAAGTTATACAATAAGTTACAGCAACTAAAGCTAATGAAAGGTTTCAATTCCTGGCAGGACCCATTAATGTGTCCATATTAGCTGTGGTGTTCACCATAAAAATGAGTTTCTCCAGGGGCAGCGGGAGTCAAACTGTAAAAATGATCATCAACATCCAGCCAGCCACTGTCACTGTTAAGAACATGTCGAGTTTTACCTCCACCCTCCCATATGTGATGCCTGCACACAGTGATTACTTACTACCACTATTATGTTATGACATCACCATAATCCATCCTAATTACGGTACTATCACTATTAGTGGTGATGGCTTAAACTTCAAATTATCACTATGCTACTATCATGATTATTACATTTATTGTTCTTGTTAATTCATCTTATAGCTATATACATCCTTATTAGACTTGCAAAACTTTCTATGATTGTTGGTATATAGGAAAATATTGCAATTGTTCACCTACTGATAAACAATAATCTGCTTTTAGTTGCTAGTCTCTGACTTGTTCATTTTTATTCCAACATACCTCGTCTGCTGTGACTGGCCCAAATTTTGGTTCTGATACAGAATAATCTGGACTGTCTGACACATCTGCCGAGACGGTTGAAGAAGACTGCAGTTGCTCTGCATGAGGGATAGACAGTGCACGTTCAGCATTCTTTGGTAGTATGCTGAGTGGCTGCCCAAGAACGAAATGGGACAGTATTCCGAAGAGGCTTGCATATTCTGTGTGGCAGCGAGACAGTCTTGCCCGGCTATTTAATCGTTCGAGTTCTGAAGGCTGGATGCACTGATGACGGCACACTGGTTGACACAGGTACCAGCCAAGTACCATGATACCACTCTGTTTCATGCAATGATAGCAAAATATTTTGAATTCACATTTTCTCAAGTCCAAATTATATTACTTAATCTTATAATGGGGCAGAAATGTGCAGTCCCAGTGCTGAGAATAAAGCAGGGACATTTTGTTTCATTCATAGAACAGATGTTGATTCTTGTCACATAATATATTAGAACTAGAATTGGTATATACATTTTTTGGGCTTGAATGAATTTTCTACTTGTAAACAAATTCACACACACACACACACATTATTCTGCAAGTCAACTAACATGCAAAATCAAAGCTTGTTTACCCTGTAGTAACATACAATTTCCACTTACCCACCCAAGTGCACCAAGCAGTGTGGCCTCCTGAATGCAGCTGTGATGCCTCCACTTCTCACCATGATGCTGTCTGTCTTCTTGTTTCTTATCATTACATGACCCATTCTTACAACTTCCACCCAGATCTGCCGTTCCACGATCAAATGTGTTAGTTGATACAATCCCTGGAATAAGTTTATATTGAAGAGAACTAAGTGGGCATTCTTGTCGAGATGACTTATCTTTCTTCGTAAAGTTGATTCTTCTTTCTAGTGTTTCTCTGATTCCTCTACACAGAAATTTCCACATCATTTATCTGGGTGATTTCAATGTTGCTTTGAATATATTGTTTCCTCCACAGTTCATTTTACTTCCTTTTCTAATTGCCTAGAGCAACCCACTCCTTAATGATGTCCATTTCATGTAAATTAATTTCATTATATTACTCTCACACAGTCAACGCACAATTTATGTGTATTTTCTAAACATTGTGCTTAATACTTTCGAAGAACAGAACCAGTTTCTGACCAAACATCTGTAAACCTCTGTACGTCATTTACAGACTAACAATGTTGGTAGCATTGATACGTGCCAGGAACACCAACATTAACATATTCCTTTACGTATGACTAAACTTGCGGAAGGATATTTGATTTCACGGACACTAATTTTCGAGGATTACAACCTTTTTCTACAGAAATAGGTACACAAAATGTGGAAGGGGGAACATTTTACCGAAATATTAATGTATTTGTTAGTGGCAAGTAATACGTCAGCTTACTATACTTTGGTTTCAGTGAGTCCAAAGTGTTTGGAAATTATTGGAGTCGGAGTTTATTTGGAGACATGCCATTAACAGAGTAATAAAGACAGCCCTACTTGTGCGTTCCAGATATGTTACGAAAAAAGATACTTCCTTCGAGCCCAACTACGAAACTCGTAAATACATGCTCTGTAAAGTACAGAGCTATTGAATGTGAAAGGATTTATTACATGTAAGATTCCATTGTAACGTTCCAATTGTCTTGGACTACCTGTATCCGGGGATAGAATAGAATAGAATTTATTTACATTCCGTAGATCCTTCGTAGGCCTAAGCCAAGGATGTAGAACACGTCATAGCACAAATATAAATACAAAGTTATAACAGCTATTTACAGATTTTTCGAACTAGTATTACAGCAAAATAATTATGATGAGAAACCGCCATTATTTCCTACATGCATTTATGATAATTGAGACTTATTGGGTGATGTAGATTCTTCTACTGAGTAGGAGGAGTGAGATAGGAGATACTCTTTTAACGCTGGCGTGAACATTTTTATGCCATGATTTAAAATTTTGATAGTAGGTGGAAGATTATTGAAAAACTTAATTCCTGGTAGTAAACTCCTTTTTTTATATTTACTGAGGTTAGAATTTGGCGCATGAAGGTTATATCTGTATCTTGTTCTTATATTATGGACATCTGAATTTGTCTGAAATTTTTACATGTTATCCACTACAAATGAATGCTAAAATTTGAACTTTCATTGAGAACTGAATAAGATTTACATGATTGGTAATCTTATTTGTCTTGGTTTGGGTATCATCACAGAAAAATCTCCATTCCAAGAGGTGAACGATGTTGAGTGGGAGCTGAGCAAGAATCATTATTGAAATCTTGTCCTGCCTTCGTGAAGAAACTTGATATATGGTCGAGGGAGCTTCTCCCAGGATCCCTTTGCCAACACAAAGTGTCACTGAGCACTGACTACAAGGAGTCTCACAGTCAAGGTGAGCATCAAGTGAAGTCATAATTTTGGGGTCTGGTTTTTGAAATAATAAGTGACAGGGTCAACAGCCAACAGATTTCTCTTACATTTTTAATTTCAAAGTGTGAAGTGCAAATTGTTGAACATTCTGTATAAATCGTCTTGCTTGTTGACAGGTCTGGTGAGACACGAGTGAAGAAATTGCATCTCCAGATGATGGGGAGTATCGTTGACTTTTGCTGAGCCAAGAGGATTCAGGAATGCACATCCCTCTACATGAGCCCGTGCACATCTGCAATAAGGCCGTCGACTGGGTACGGTGGAACGATGCAGAGAAATTGTTTCTGCGTCATCACTACAAACCAACGATAAGGACGAAGATGAAGATGGCTGTCTTCCAGTAAGTTGCTATTACTCATGCTATATGTGATTCACCCAAGACACTACCACTTCCCTGACACTTATTCCTAGGTACAGGTACCTGTGTTATGGAAGATCCACCTAAGATTGAAGATGTATCCCTCCCTTTTAGGGTTGCTAGAAGCGGAATCTTGTCTAGATGTGATAAGAATGCAGGTTATCTTTTGAAAAACTAGTAGCTGGCAGGTTACCTTGTCCAAATTCGGTTGCATAAGGGATCGTGTAATGTTGACAGAAGGAGTGGCCCAGAAAGAGATGGACTGATGGGAATAACATCGCAATGGGCTGGAGGCACTGCTTGAAGGACATGTTAACGGAGTTTAGCATAGGCTTTATGTTGCTGTTTTTGATGTTACTATGCCTACTCAGTACAACATTTTATCCTATTACTGCATCCTGTTTTGTCATAGAAGATTTGGAGTAACCACGTTCTGTGTTAATAAGGTCACAGGGTCAGAAAGTAACAACAACAGCAAGACCTTGTAGAAATGCATTCTTGGGCACCTGCAAAAGGCCATCAATTAAAAATACCCAGTTTGTTTTTAATATAAAACTGGCAGCTCCATCATGCAGTGCACTAGCTCATGGAGCTCTTTCAGTGCCATTGTTCTTCCACAGCCCCCTACTTTGCTATTTCATCCTCTTTCAGTAGTTTCTGGTTCCTGAGTGTGTAGGCCCTCTTGAACAACATTTTACAGGCAGGACAATAGGGGAAAGAGGTTATGACAGTGTAAAGGACCCACAGTAGTACAGCTACTGCAATCAGTTGAAGGCAGAGTGGAGTCAAATTTGCCATGCTAAGAAGTTCACACATTTCTGAACTATCACATAGAATTGTCAATTCAGGACTCACTCAAAGCAGTCAGCTGGCCAGGAATTTCATAATCCCTAATTAATATAACCCATTAATCCTGGAACCGCAAAGCTCTATCTTCCTGTCTGACGTATAACAAAAAAGTAAGTATATTCCTGTTCTCGATATTATACTATTATATATAGAAAAGGTGTACTGTAACCAGTGGTTTCCAAACAAAATAGATTTCCGTGCCTTCATTTAAACTAGGAACTATATTACTCGCAGAAAATGCCATGTTATGTCATTGTCTGCACATCTCATTAATAATAATAATAATAATAGTAATAAATGAGTTGGGGAAATGACCACTATAATTTAACTGCAGTTATGGTATACCAGTTTTCCATAGAAGCATAGTTTGGAAACAATTGATTTGATACATTTTTGTACCCTGTTACTGAGGTAGTGGTAGTACTGTCCACTGATTAGGAGAAAATACGTGCTAGTAATTGGATATATGCACATGCACAATATTTCACGGCGAGTGATGGGTTGCTTCTAGCCATCCTGAAAGCATTCGTTTCACAACCAGTAGCAAACAACAGACTAGGCTTTCATGTGTTCTAATGGGTGTTGCCAAGTATGCCTCACTGGCACAGTGATTGAATCTGGAGTGTTACGAGGAGAATTGAGGCCATGGACAGAATACGAACCAGAAGAAGGAGAGCGCTGCCCTTCCATCTACCGGCAAAAAGCAAATAAGAAATTTAGAGGCATTTTATTACAAAGTTTGAAATATATCTTATTTTTCTACATGCCCCATTTTCCAATGCAGAAACTTACAGTTCCAAAATTTCCTGACTCAATTCAGATGCAGTTTCATCAGTGTTCTTTGCTTGTCCCAAATAGGCCCATTAATCTAACCCTTTATAGTTAATGACCACCCAGAACATACATTAACATTTCTATGCCCTCCTTTAAATAGTTTCATGTGCTTTCCTTTGGCTTACATACTGATTGCCATACTGAACTGTCATACTTTCATAAATGTCACTGCTTTTCGACTTACCTTCATATTCAAGTTCAGAGGAATACAGAGAATCAAAACAACAGCCATTCTTTTGTTCTCCCTTCATGAGTATTAAATCTTGTAGTTGTGTCTATTTGGAATCTTGCACTACTGGGAATATATGTGATAGTCACATTAACTACATATGTCATAAGGTTACTATTATATCATAAGGTCTTAAGAATCTTCACCCCACACTGAAATATCACTGATATACAACAAAGTCTAACACATTTCCAGAGGAAATAATACAGTTCATCCAATGAAAATACATTGCTTTTTCATTTTATATTTCAAACTGTAAAGTATAGTGAGGCAGCACAGATGTAAACTTAACACAATCAAAACATGCTGTTCAAAGGGAACACCAGTAGTTAGCTTCAGTGATACAACAGTACACTGATGCAGTAGGTGCTGGAAACATTTAAAAATTGATTGAAAGTTATCACTTTATTATCCTAACTTTTTAATTTATCTTCTAACATCAAAGCAGGTATGGCCAGCTTTCAGAGTGGCTTCTGACATAATCAATACTGATCATACCAAGGGCTTCCTCCTGAGCATTGGTCTGCTATGCCGCAGTGAATTAAATCCTAGAAACATGGTACAATTTCAAGTCTTTAAAAATTCTAAAATGCATCACACCAACTGTATGCTTGTTAATCCTTCAGCACCAACATCTACAAGGAAAATGTTGATGTATAAAATACATAAATAACAAAAATATGCTCTCCTAACTCACAGCTTTGGAACACAAACAGCAACAGACCAAGCAGGACAATTCTATCCTTAATATCAGGAGTCCCCTTCTATATCAAGTTTCGAGAATGATGAACTGTCAGTACTATTCAGGGTTTCCACAGGAGTCCATTTGTTGGCAGCAATGTCACTGGAAAATGGATCCACCGTTTGCAAAGTCAATGGCTCCACAGTGTTCACAAGGATCAACCTGCACATCATATACCAATTTATTAAAATGAAGTTCATGTATTTTATTATATTGTATCCACTGCAGAAACTTTTTATCATCAAATGAGACATGAGGAAAATTATGTATGGTGAAAGGGAAACTTATTTATTTTATGTATAACTAATTTAACAATGCTATCAGTAGCTCAAATTATATAGAACTGAATGATATAATGATTATTAAATAATGAATTTGAAAGGATGTAGATAAGAAACTATCCAGCATTTGCCTAGGGAGACAGAGGTAAACCACAAAGTGTTCAGAGTATCTAATATCCAGGTTAAGAATCAAACCTGGAACTTCCCAAGTAAAAAGCTAGAGTACTAACCACTCTGCTGTTGTTAGTGCCTCTCACCTGAAAGCATGTAGAAACATTCTGTGAGGAAGCACATCCTGTCGATTACTGTAAGTATAGTCGCCAACAATTGTGTGACCAATGTCTGCACAATGGACTCGAAGCTGATGCCTTCTGCCAGTGACTGGCCTAAGTAATACTTTCGTTGCTGGGTACTGATCATAAAATCCAAGCTGCAGCACCAACATCCGTGTATGTGCAGATCTGGGAGATATGCAATGTGGATCTGATGCAGTACACATGCGGTGATTACCACTTTTCTGTTCACTGTCTTCTCCAATTGGTTTATATATGTCCATAATTTCACAAGCTACATGACCACGTAACAGTGCCAAGTAGTATTTCTTTGTTTTCCTTTCACTAAAAGCAACTGTAGCTGCAGAACATGCTTTCTTGTGTAATGCTATGCAAATTATACCACTAGTTGCATAATCTAGTCTGTGCACAAAATAGAAGTCATGTTGTAAGTTTGGATTTACCAAATCTGGAAACAACTCTCGAAGCTGTAACTGCAATGATACCTAACGAGTAAATAAACAAACAAATATTTATAAAAATTATGTTATAATATGATACACAAATATCATATATTTATGAAATATGGAAGCAAAGAGGGACTAAACACTGAAGAAGATAAATATATGACATTCACTTTTAATACTAACTATATGGCAGACTGTAGGTAAACAATCGTATTAATCTAAACAAAATTACCTACCTTAACTGTTGGATCATCACTGTTTATTACAATATCATGCCTTTTATTTATCACCAAAAAGTTCCGACTTCTATATAAGACTTCAACTTCGTTCAATGGCGATAAGTTCAAGGATCTTCTACCTTCTTCTCCGACAGCCGACACCCATTCACGCCAGATATTATCAAATTTATAAATGAATAGTCTTATAAGAAGTTCAATTACATGTTCCATTTATCACTATCTGCAAATAACACCAATTACAAATACGCTCAATCTTCATGTTTCATTTCATTGTTCATAATCAAAACGTAACATCAATCGTTACTCCTTAAATCATACCTCAAAATATCACACATCTTTAGTATATCAAATCATACAAATGGCTTGCCCAAATACTGCCTCAACACCATATTAATTTGTATTTCGCTAGTCATATGTCAACAATTACCTGTATATTGATAATCTGGGCTTCACTGTAAATTGAACTGAAGGACCTTTGCTGAACATAGTGTGGTCATGTATTCAACACACTCACTCTAGAACCGTTCTTTGTTACCAAATAAATGGCCAAAACTCCTAAACAGTAAGAGTTAGCAGAAATCTGTTTGCAAATTTCAAAAGCTCGTGCTTATTTACGTATTTCTCTCGCAATCTGTCCAGATCTAACTCCTCCGCTTTAGACGTGGCAAGCGGTTGAAGGAACGAGGGAATAGTTATTACAAGTTTTGGGTACTTATTTCAAAAATGTGTTAAATATGCATTATAGAATAAAGTAAACATTATGTAGAAAAAGCACTTTACTCTTTAATTTACATACAGGTTTATATTCTCTATCTTACATAGGTCTCGAGTTATTAGCGTTTGAAGAAGTTACACACCAACGTTACATCTTAGTTAACGTCGAGTGTACCATGATTTTATAAACGTTATTCAACGTTAAATATGATACCTACCAAGGACCTTTAAGATTAAAATAGATAACTTATTACAAGAAATTCCCCCTTAAAAATCCATACAGGACTGAAAATGGCCGGCAGTGCTACAGAAATGCTAAAGCTGTATTGCCCTCTGCAGGCTAAACGCGAAAGTATGCAATGAGACAATCATCATATTGTACACGAAACCGCCATTTTGAAATTCTGAGCTTGCATCCAGGTAATAGGATGTCCGAGGAGGTATGACAAATCATAATACGAAAATGTGTTGGTCACATTGTCCTATAAAAGGGATACCAACATAATCTGAGCTGACTGTGGTGTGTCTTCCCTCTGGTGGCCAAACTATATAATAGGATTAAATACATCCCTCTTGAGACACTCCAAGAAATATTAATATTAAAATAAATAATGTAATATTTAAAAAATACACCTTTCAAAATGCCATAAGGGTCAGAAAATGGTCTGCTTTGCTTAATAAATAATTGAAACTTGACTGCCATCTGGAGGTCAAGTGCTAAACTATGCTACGCAACGACCACGTGACTATGTTCGGAGACGCCATTTTGAAATCCGGCTTGTATTCAGCTAGTAGGATATCCGAGGAGGTATGACAGAAAAGAAATGAAAATGAGTTGGTCACTCTGTCAGGCACAAGGGATACCAACTTAGTTTGTTGGTGTTGCTCCCCTCTGGTGACTAAACTATATAATAAGCTTAAATATACCCCTCTTGAGACATTCCAATTAATATTAATATTAAAATAAATTATTAAACATTTAAAAGAACCCTTGAAAGTCCATTTGGGACTGAGAATGGTCTGCGCTTCATAATAAATAATTGAAACTACTGCCATCTGGAGGCCAAGTGTTAAACTATGCTACATAACAACCACGTGGGTATATGTTTGGAAACGCCATTTTGAAATCCGACTTGTATTCAGCTAGTAGGATATACGAGGAGGTATGACGGAAAAGAAATGAAAATGAGTTGGTCACTCTGTCAGGCACAAGGGATACCAACATAATCTGAACTGAGTTGGTGCTTCCATCTGGTGGCCAAATTTTATAGTAAGCCTAAATACACCCCTCTTGAAACACTGCAAGGATATTAGTATTAAAATAAATTATTTAATATTTAAAAATATACCCGAAATAAATGACAAAGTACCGACAATGGTCTGCCTTGCTTAATAAAATTTTAAAGGTATGCTGCCATCTGCAGGCTAAATGCAGAACTTTGCTACGTAACAAAAACGAAGGTGTTCAAAGACGCCATTTTGAAATTCCGAGCTTATATCCAGGTAATAGGATGTGTGAGGAGGTATGATAACCAAATTATGAAAATGTGTTGGTAGTATTGTTCCATAACGTCGGTACCAACATAATCCAAGCTCAGTGTGGTATTGCTTCATATTGCTTCCCTCTCGTGACTATACTATATAATAAGATTAAATACACCCCTCTTGAGACATTCCAATTAATATTAATATTAAAATAAATTATTAAACATTTAAAAGAATCCTTTAAAAAGAACCCTTGAAAGTCCATTTGGAACAGAGAATGGTCTGTGTTGCATAATAAATAATTGAAACTACTGCCATCTGCAGGCCAAGTGCTAAACTATGCTACATAACAACCACGTGGGTATGTTTGGAGACGCCATTTTGAAATCCGACTTGTATTCAGCTAGTAGGATATACGAGGAGGTATGACGGAAAAGAAATGAAAATGAGTTGGTCACTCTGTGCGACACAAGGGATACCAACTTAGTTTGTTGGTATTGCCTCCCTCTCGTGACTAAACTATATAATAAGATTAAATACACCCCTCTTGAGACATTCCAATTAATATTAATATTAAAATAAACTATTAAACATTTAAAAGAACCCTTGAAGGTCCATTTGGGACAGAGAATGGTCTGCGTTGCATAATAAACAATTGAAACTGCTGCCATCTGGAGGCCAAGTGCTAAACTATGCTACATAACAACCACGTGGGTATATTTGGAGACGCCATTTTGAAATCCGGCTTGTATTCAGCTAGTAGGATATGCGAGGAGGTATGACAGAAAAGAAATGAAAATGAGTTGGTCACTCTGTCAGGCACAAGGGATACCAACATAATCTGAACTGAGTTGGTGCTTCCATCTGGTGGCCAAATTTTATAGTAAGCCTAAATACACCCCTCTTGAAACACTGCAAGGATATTAGTATTAAAATAAATTATTTAATATTTAAAAATATACCCGAAATAAATGACAAAGTACCGACAATGGTCTGCCTTGCTTAATAAAATTTTAAAGGTATGCTGCCATCTGCAGGCTAAATGCAGAACTTTGCTACGTAACAAAAACGAAGGTGTTCAAAGACGCCATTTTGAAATTCCGAGCTTATATCCAGGTAATAGGATGTGTGAGGAGGTATGATAACCAAATTATGAAAATGTGTTGGTAGTATTGTTCCATAACGTCGGTACCAACATAATCCAAGCTCAGTGTGGTATTGCTTCAATCTGGTGGTTGAATCATGTTGTACGGCGAGATGTACCCTCTGTAGGCCGTAAATAATTTCATACTTAAAAAACAATCAAGATAAGCTGTGTAACAGATATTGATTATGTGATGTGAAGCTTTCACGGTGGCTTTCATTTATAAAGTCTTCTCGGGCTGTCAGCCATGTTAGATGATTATTCAACATCTAACAGGGCTGATAGCTGGAGAAGACCTTATCAGATATTGTTATTTTATTACAATCTCTTTATACTAATTCATAAACACCTGACAAACGGTTTCCAAGTTTAAGGATGCAAATGAATGGAATAACAAGACATCCTCCCAACCTAGCATTCTACATGCACCCAGACAGTTCAGTGTTCATTAAAAATGTGGTTTCATAGTTAATTTAGTATCTACCACTGCTTGTACTTATTGTATTATATTGAGACAATCAAAAATGCACAAACACTGGTAATATAAATGATAGCATATAAAAACAGTGGAAACAAATATGTCTTGTATTCTTTTTCAATCAGCTTTAAATATGAATGGTTACAAGGGTTTTATACTTCTTCCATTTAAGATTGTGTTCAATTTACTACTCAAATCCATCATTCCACTGACAAATATTAAGTTGAGGTCTGTAACAGCCGAATAGTATGGAATTTTAATAGTCAGTACAGTATACCATCCTGTTGTTTTGCATAGTTTTCAAAAGCAGCACAACGAGATAAACTGAATACTCGCCAAAACAGAGCCTAAAGAAACATATTCACTCAGTCTTTCTTTTCTGTGATATTTTGGGCCAGAACACATAAGGAGCGCGTCTTCCTGTACACATGCATAGGTTGTCATGACTACTACAGACCAATGTCCTGTGAAATCACAATGTGCACAGTCATACAATGTCACGTAGTAGCCTCACATGTGCTGCAACTTTGGCCTGAAACAAATAACAAAAACTTCTTTATGTTTTAACTCGCTGGCTTATTAAATTTGTTACATATTTTCACATCAGGGTGACTGTTTATTCTTTTATATTATCAAAACAAACACAAATGGAAATGGTGACTGTAAGCACCTCTGAAACATCAGTAAGCTTCTACCTGACTACATGGCACAACATCCCACAAAGACAGACACCTTCAAAAATGAAATTCTGTGACAAAATCATACCCATGTACCCAGGCAACTTTACAGCCACAGGAAACAATAAGTTAATAATACTGGAAGGTCAAAAGGTGTACTTCACACCACATAATGGGGAATTATGTCAGCAGGGCAAATAAGAGAATAACAAATGCAAAAATTATTTCCAAGACAACAGTTGCAGCAATATGATCCAACAATCTCGATTCACACTTCTGCAACACTGACCTCTGGTCACATTATTGCTAAAAACCATGACAAATAGACAGACATGGTCAGGCCCATAAGGTTTTCTTCACTTATGCTGAAGTGTGAAGAACACCTAAAAATGCAGCTTTTAAAGTTCAACAGTAGCCATGACATTTAGATTTGCATTCATGCCGTAGCTTCTCAGTGAACTTAGAACCAATACTGTATCCTGAGATCATCAGTGCCCCTACTGTACGGGCCACTCATAACATATATAAAGGCATTAGGCCCCAAAATAGGTGTGAACTTACTTCTTCCTGAAGGCAAACATGCTGAGCAAAGTCTGCTGTTTACCATTGCTCTTCTTCAGGTGTGGTCGATAACGAACAACATCTTTACTCTTGAATCCCAGAGATTGAGACTGATTGAGCACAGGTGAGCTTGGGCTATGAAAACCTTCATCAACAGTCATGGAGTCCTGAAAGAAGGCATACCTCATGAAAATATTTTTTTTAGTAATGACTAATATGTATGCCTTGGTATAAATAAGATATTCAGACACCCAGCCTCTATTCAATTGGGTAATTGGTCTTGTTGTCAAGGTAGCAAAGCAGTGATGCTTAGACGCTGGCCACCTTTACCTTTATTTTTATTTGTAATCAAAAGCCCATTGCAGAGGAAACAAGCACTTACCACTGTGACAGTGAGAGATGTCGCTGGCTGATGGCATGAAGTAACAGGACCCAGTTCTAGACCACTGTCAACCAAATTTTGGTCATCTACTAAGTCTTCTTCCTTTTCAATTGGCAGTGGTGACTGCAAGGAGGGGGAAGCCTTTACAGTTTCAGTCACCAAAAAGTTTTCTTTGTGACATGAGTCTGTCTTCCTGAAAGGGTTCTTAAAGTCTTTTATCACAGCATCTGATCTCATAAGAGATGTGACACTTTCAGACTTCTGGAAACCAAATCTGTTATCAGACCAAGAAAAAGACTTTGAAATAGATTTCTTCCCTGATGGCAAAGCCTGAATACTGTTACCTGAACAGGATTTAATGATTTGGCTTGAATGTGATTTGTGATGCTCTACTAATGAACGTTCGTTTGTCAGATTATCATTGGATTGCTTTCTGCCAGTTACCTCAAGCATGGTAAGCACAGATATTGCATTTGTTGTCTTACAGCTTTCAGGGCCTTTCGCAGCATCACACTTCACTTGAATTTCGTTACTCGGAGAATCAGCTATGTAGCTTTCAATGTCCAATGAGCCAGTACCTTCACACTTATCTAACATATTTGACAGATTTTGTAATTTTGCAATCATTTTTAGGGGTTGTTCACATTTTTTATCTGTAGCTTCAGTCACACCCTTTTTGTTAGAGTTGTTTTGCTTGCTGAAGTACCTGAAAAAATAAGAATTATAAAGCTGGTGAGGCAGTAGAATGGACCGAGAGCGTACTTGGGTGCTAAAGTGGAATTATAGTAGAAGCACACACCACTAGTAACTTTATAAGAGAAATAAACTGTGTCTGCATGGCAGCACACAAATGTTTTCATTCAGAACCAAAAGCTTATACATGCAGAAAAGTCACTGTCATGATGACAACGCACAGTGCCCTGGCTTGCCAACTAAACAGAAGAAATGTGACTAATGGCCACCCCACCAATAGTAAAGAAGTTCACTTCTGTTGTCAGGAAGATGACTGGCAGAGTTAATCTACAACTGCACTTCTCATGTGCAAACTGCAGGCCTGCAGGGAGATGTGATTTTTTTATGGTCTAATTATATTATACGTAATTGATACAAAATGGCCACATTAAATTCTGCACTCACAATTTATGAGAAAGATTACCTGACAGATATCTTTAAAGTTCAAAAGTAAACATTTTAATATTATGAAATCACATCCTAAGTCATTTTTAAGGCATGGGCCACTCAAACTATTTTATTTATATAAAGAGAGATTCAAACTAAAGAGTTTGAGGATCACTCATTTTCAGCACGATGTGATACGTAAATCATGATGAGGGGGGCCTGATACTCCTCACATTCAAAATATTCTGACTTTGTCAGAGGCAAGAGAAAAATGCAAGCACAAAAATAGACAATGAAAGCAAATGGCCTTGAAACTGAGAGCAATGGCACAGAAATCCAAGTTTTCAATTCTTAGAATATAGGTACCGCAAAGAGAATAAAAACAAGCGACCACTTCAAGTCAGACTCCAAGTTTGAGTTAAAAAATTCATACACTCCCTCTCACCTGCTCTGAACTACAGTTGTGTTATCAGTCTTAGACCACCTGTATCTATCAAACTTGCCAATGGCACCGAACTTCTGTTCTTGGGTCCCTTCTACAGCATACAGACTTGATGAAAATCCTGTCAGATCCTTCCTAGGACTATCAGGATGTATCTGCTTGAGGAAAGGATTTCTCTTGTTCTTTCCTGTCATCAGGACAGGAGACGTCAGCTTGTTTGGAGAACTCTGCTCCAGAGGTGTCATCTCCAATGCACCCTCTAATGAGGCATGTGTCTCAGTCACAGCAGCATCCTGCTTCATGGGTGTATTATCAGGACTGTGAATCACAACAAAGGAAAATCTCAAGCTTACTTAACATTTCTTTCTTTCTTGGCTTACACAACATCTTATGAAATACATGAGTGGGGAATGTGTATAAAATTTTGCGTGGAAATCCTGGAGTGAAGAGATCACTCAGAGGACCTAGGCATAGATGGGAGGATACCACTGAAATGTATCTTAAGGAAATATGTATCATCTTTACAAAGGACCAATAGTGAATTGCATCAAGAACTGACTCCACACACCTACACCCAATTTCTCTAATATCCATTATAACAATATTCTGCCATCTATGATTATGCCTGTAAACGCTATCCATCGTTGAGATTTTCTGATCACAATTCTGTATACATTTATAATTTCTCCCATTTGTGCTGCATGTCCCATCTCATACTCTTTGATGCGATCACCGTAACAATACTGGGTGATGAGTACAAATTATGAAGCTCCTCTTTATGTAATTTTCACCATCCAACAGGTACTTCCTGTAAGTCAGTGTCAAGTATTGACCTGAACGCTTTGTACCAAGAAACTCAGTCTAAATTCTGAAGTCAAAGGTGAACTCCATAAGGTATTATTCATAAGGAAACATCCGAGCGTTATAGAGAACAAATGTTACGAGGCACTACCATCTTAACAACAGATTATCATTAAGCACCACGGTTATCAAACCTGTCTAACAGAGCCGCAATGGGCAGAGCCATTACCTGTTCGCTTTCTCAACTTCAGTTTCATCCAATTCACAGCTGTCAGATCTTCTCCTCTTACTAAATTGACCTTGTACAGACTGACTCAGATAAATGGCAGTCAGATCTGCATCACTACAGAAATCCGAAACATCTGCAAACAATATATATAACTTCTGCAATTACCCAGCAACCAATCATAAGGTTCTATGATCTATTAACACATGTTTATGAAGTATCTTACCCTCATGTTGCCTTTTTGACTGAGTAATTAATGAAACTTGTTTTCTGAGCACCTTGCCCTTTGTTGATTGTCTGTCCACCTGTCGTGGGTCCTGTTTCAAACCCATAGTTGGTATCTTGTAGTCTTGTGACCAGATGCTGATGTGCGGTGCCACTGGAATCTGATTCCATGAGCACGTCTTGACATTTTGAGTCTGTAAATTAAATCATGAAGATTAATCCATCCAGCAAAAATTCTGCAAGTCTAATGGCAACAAATAAATACCAAGGTTAATGACATGGAAAAAAACATGAAAATATATACTTTATTTTCTTTAAATATATCTTTCCAATTTTGTACCAAATTTAATTTTGCTTGAATCCCACAAAAACGTGTCTCTCATCAAGGTTGGACAAATGTAAGACCTACATACAAACTACATTTAAGAACCTACCGGTTTTACAGCATCTGGGTTAAAATCGCCAACCTTCTGTAACGTAAATGGGTCAAGGTTGCCAAGTGCAAGCTGATAAGCAGTATCATCAGGCACCATCTTGCCAGCATAATCTGTGACTTTCTCAGGTTCAAGGGGTTCATTTAAACGTGTCAGTCTGCGTGACAGTGGATCAAACACCAACTGATACTTAAATGCAGCATCTGCCAGCAAAAACTCATTGCGATATTCATCAGATACCGTCAGAGATTTCATATTCAGGTGTCCTGGCAACCGAGACAATGCCTGCAATTATAGATGAAATACTCAGATGATAAGGTTAAACCCAAAGCAATATAGAATTAGATACTGTCATATGTGACAGATTCAAAACATTCCAAGACAGAAGAAGGAACATGCCTACGGACCATACACACTGTGGAATCATTCAGGCATCATTAAATTTATATACATGGTAGGTCCTAAAGGTGAGTGAAGTACATCTAAGTCTCTGAAGTGGGACTCTCTTGAGCAATGGGCTGACATTAAGTTTTGTCAGCAATTGGAAAAATCAGTAAAGTAACCATGTTATGTTTTAAGATGGCTGTCTTCTGGGTTGCAGCACCTCGTGGTCTGGCAGACGTTTATCAACTTTTCAGGGGTCCTTGCTGCATCCATCATCACGGTGTTGATCCCTACAACCCGGAAGACAGCCATCTTCAGACTCGCCATCATGAAAACCTCAAATCCTAAGTGTCATGTTCTCTCTGAAGCAAGAACCAAATTTTGAAATATTATTTATATGAACTTTATGTTTTATAGGTTTGTGACATGGAAAAGTTCATAACTGCATCTACAAAAGTCCACCATGTGACCACATCCTTATCCAATACATTTCTTTACAACCCCTTTCTCAAAGATACATTTTATATTATATATCATCTATGCCAAAAGTCTTCCGAATGTCCGTTCAGTAAGACTGTGCAACCAAAATATTGTAGACATCCCCTCTTTCCTCCCATGCATGCTACATATTTCATTCCCCTCTTCCTGCTATGAATACAAAGTGTGGAACTCCTCACCCGATGAATATCGGTATCAAGTGTCCTCGTGATAAACTTGCATGCTTTGAAGAGACCAATGCCAGGTAAAGATGGTAGGTAGTCACAGCCTGAGAGGATGCACATGTAACGAAACTTGTCTGAACTGAAGTTCTCTGGCCGGATGCCCATCGCCAGGTGAAGGCGCTCATGTTCAACCAACAGACCATTTCCTGCTACATCCATCTTGAATAGAACCTAAAAGCAAAACATGCAGTGGATACAATGACTGGGTATCGTATACAAAAACCCACATATCTGATAAACATGATGAAATCTGTACTTAGTTTATGTGGCTTTTTACGAATAATGGGACATGACTAAAGCAGAAGAAGCATCCATGAAGAACTGCAAAATAATCAGCTACATAAAGAGACCAGAACAAAGTGAAAGGTCTTCAAAACTTGTATGTTCATAGGGCAATTAAATTATTAAAATGGAGAAGGGTCAAATGTAAATTTGTCAAATAAAATAGCATTACAATTCAACCTTCATAAACATTTAAAAACCAGTACAACTAGCCAACCCTGGAAACATCTCCAGGATAAATATTTTATATTTATATTTTAGGTTAAATCTGAACCACTGCCACCATACATGAAATTTCATGCCTTATTTAAAAATTAATCCAGCAGCAATAAATTAAATTAGTATGCTTCACTGGGTCACCACACCTTTCTGCAACCAAAGAGCACAAGATCTGAGTCCTCTGTTATGACAATCTGAGCAATGTTTTTCAGATTGAGGTATGCAAGTTGTGCATCTGCCTCGTAAGGGGCCACGATGCAATCCACATTACGACGACGACACTCGTGAATCAATGCCAGTGCCATGTTATGTGTTATGTCGATACACCGCTTCAAGAAGTTTCTGGCTTCATCTCTCTGTCCAGCCCGAAGCAGTTCAGCTGCACGCTTCCGACTGCTTTGACGGGACCTGAAAATATATGCCACATCAGACCTAGACTGAGAGAAGTCACATGCTTGTCACAGGTATTAAGTGCTGTACATATGACACTTACATCCATTTTGTTTGTATTATGTTTTCATGAATTAACACTATTTACTTACAGACATCTGCACTTTTATTGGTGAAGGAAATGCAAATATTTTTTTCTCATATTTAAAAAATGAATCAAAATTGAGTGACAATTAGGACATGTTAGAATAAGTTGAGTTTAATTTACTTTATGACATTGCAGTGTTGGATCTGGTAACCATAAATGAAACACAAATTATCAAACAGTTTTTGCCAATAAAAGACACAACACAAATATATACTTAGGAAGTAATTCAAACTAACCCAACTTCATAAACTTGATAAATTTGAATTTGTTAGAAAAAAATGTGTGGAAATAAACTGTATTATCTGTATCAACACAATTACAGACTCTGAAGATGATTGTCTTGGTGTACGTTATACCACACAGTCTGGTAGAAACTGACCAACATTTCATAGGTTCTTAATGCCTCCATCATCAGGGCAACAAACAAGAAGGTAAACTAACTGGTCATCATATCATAAAGATATATTGAAAATAGGATATCAAAAGTAACAGTGGATCACAGAAACAGTAGGGAAACACAATAGAACATTTATCTCAAAAATAAAGTTCACAGGAATGTATTAAGGCAACTGAACTACCAACAAGTAGAGTTAGACTGTATCAGTAATAAAATGATTTACTTACTCATGACGCTTCCTCTCAGTTCCGGCCTTTGCTGGTAAATGCTGCCCATCAAACACCAGAATTGGTTTAATATTGTGAGACAACAGCATATTTACAAGCTTCATACAGTAGTGCACATACCTGAAAGAAAACATACCAATCCAGTGCAGGACACCATGCAATTAATTTTTCGGACACACCACAATTTTAATTGAGCTTTCATACATATGCCCTTATACAATATAAGAAGAACTTTATTGAAATTCATTATGAATACAGCTTAGACATGATATAAAAATTCACAGAAATCTAATAAGAATGATGGTGTTTCGTAGTTAAATCCAAAATCAATTAAATGCAGTTATATTATTAAATACATAAATGAAACATTTTGGATTAACCAAAACAGATGACTTTGGTTTCATGAAAGCAAAATAGGAATTAGTGATTCTTGTCTAAGAGCGACTTAACACATAATATTAATCACAGATTAAAATTTCTTACGCATCACATGGTTCTCCCCTTGCAAGTTTTTCAACACAAGTATATGCCCCCCTATGCAACCAACAATAGGCATCAATAGCTACACAGCAGCCAGCATACTGTTCAATATTGACTCTGCGACTTGCTTTCTCCAAAAATGGTATCAAACCCTGAATCCCCATTACAAATATTCAGACAATGTTTCTTAAACTTTCTTCACGACACGGCACGATACATTGTTATGATCACCATAATACCCGCCAAAGATGTTGACCTTATATAACTATTAACCAACATAAGCAATTTTAATGTACCAATGATGTAAAAGTTTAATAGGATTGTCTTTAGAACGATTGTTGTCTTTAAATCTTGAGAAAATAACAGTTAAGTTATGCAAATGTCTTCATACCTAACAAACAAATTACATATTTAATATAAAATGATGCCATAAATATCTTATATCGATGATGCCAGCAGTTTCTCACACTGATTGCGTGACTAGTGCTGCTCTCTGCAGTCTTCAGTTAGCGCCATGAAAAACAAACGTGTATAGCTTATGTTGTAATCTGTGGTATTTAGTGAGTCATTGTTCTCTCTGCAAAACGAAATTTCTCATCACACACAACATAGAAATTAGGAAGTGGTGTACAAATTTTCTCAAAACGGAGAAAAATAAGAAAAAACAAACATGGCTGTTAGACGTGCATCCCATTCGGGTAGCTGGTATTCGGATTCAGGTTGGGCCAACATAATATACTATGGCACATGTTCATTGTTCATTTACAAAATGGGCCCGTTAAGGTCATTAACCCCCGTAATTAATAGGCATTTAATTTTTGAGTCCATACACATTTCATCACCTTTTTCTTCAGAAAATACGATAAGGAGATATATATTTCTGCCATTTGAAAGTTGAGCCACATAATTTGGTAGATTTATATTTCAGTAAAAATAGACATGTACCACATTTATTTATCTTTTCTTGCAGCCAAGGAGCTTGGAAAACAATTGGAAACTTGGCTCAGCACTGCTGATCTATCCCATGGTCCTGCAAGGGCCATCATTGCTCCGTAGGTGCCCTTAGAATTTTGATATACATAGCTTTGAAATAGCCCATGGGCAGTGCTTTCTAATACCAGTATTCATCTGTTTTAGACATGCTGGCTACCAGTACTGTGGTGCCTGTAGTGGCTTTGCCTATCGTCAAGTTAGCCCTGTTGTAGTGTGAGTATAATTTTTCAAACTTTGAACATATGTCTTAACTGTAGATCTGATAATCACATTGCTGTTTATCTACCTAGGAGACGAGTGTTCATCTTGGGCCCATCTCATCATGTTCGTCTTGCTGGATGTGCCCTTTCTACTGCAACCAAGTACTGTACTCCACTTTATGATCTGCGAATAGACACCCAGGGTACGTAATTCAACCATGCTGATCGCAGAACTTTATCTATATCTACATAATTGCATTCTAACATAACCACAATATACTGAATTCTTGGGCTACCAGCCATCAGGATTTTTAATGTAGATGAAGATGGTTCTCAAAACACTGGTGTTTTCTCCATTAAACCACCTGAAATGGCTGGTAGTCCAAGAATAATTCATTATACCTGGTCACTGTGAAAGCTTCAGATCATACATAACAGTTTTTTCTTGTACCACATTAATTGACAGTAAAGAAATGTAAGTTGACGATTGGCAAAGTTGGTGAGTGTGTTTGCATTTTAGCACAGTTGTACAACCATGCATTGATGTCAGTTTCTAACCATTAAATAAGTTGTTAAATTTTTTAATTAGGCCATGCACATGCTAACATGAAAACCCAAGCAATGTTCCTGCTGCCACAATCAATTTATATTTTAGTGATGATTTTATAATAGACATGAACATGGTTGAGGTACTTGGTTAGCTAAAATCAACAGATCACAGGAATAGTGAGTGATATATCATATCATGGTTATTGGTGCATTTTATTCCGCTCCCCATATTTGATCCTTTTGAGAGAACCTTGTGTTAAAAAACCTTTTTTCCGTGGAACTACCCACATTTCCTTTTCCTGTGAGATTTTCATGAGAAAAATAAAATTTTTAACTGTACTGAAGCTCAAATTAAGTAAAAGTAATGTAAACTTGAAAGGGTTAATGCATAAACCAGTGTGCCTATGTGCCCATGATGTTGCTGTACTGTAAAACGTGCTGCGTTATGCTACAGTGTATGCTGATCTGGAGGCTACTGGGCAGTTCGAGTGGATGAATATGTCCATGGACGAAGATGAGCACAGTATAGAAATGCATCTTCCATACATTGCCAAAATTATGGAAGAGTAAGTTTCTTTCATCACATTGCATCTCTTAATGTATTCAGTGCATTGCTTCAGACTCCTAACACTGCAGTTTAAACTGTTAAAACAAGCAAGATTGTAGAGGATTTGAGGATCTCACAGTGGTGAGTACAAAGATGGCTGTCTTCTGTCTTCAGCCATCTAAGATTGTAGATCCACATTTGACTTAATAGTCAAAGACGGGCAAAATGCTTTGGGGTCCATGGAGGCTTTGCAGTGAATGATTTAATAGTACAAAAGCCTGCAAATAATGTCTGCTTTATTTGGAAATGGATATACTGCAGACCAAGTAGTGCCCTTTGATAATGAAATATTCACCA